GTTTTGTATCGGACGGAATGAGCAGGTGAATGCATGTGATGTCTGTGTATGGAATGTCATTAATAATATGCTACACAGGAGGTCGGTAACAGATAACAACACACGCATCAGTAACTCTGACAAAACAGTTGTGTGTACAGTACTGATCAACCTAACCACTCATACAAGCAAAAACAGAATCTTGTCATCTGCAAATTTCGACATCACATTGTAAAATTAACGAGACATATTGGTGTGACATTTCTCACTATGAATCACGCTACTGAGAGACTTAAGGGCAGAGTTTGCATCATGCATCACTATCCATCCTTTGAGAGCATGAAGACGCATGTCATTAATCCATTAGGTCCAGGAAGCAATAGCTCTGTTCTTTGATTAATGTTAGAGAGCTTCCTAAACATTGTATCGGTCAACTAAAAGGACATATATCAGCATAACACACAAATCGTGTTCAGAGGTAATACTAATGAATGCATTGTCGTTTGAAGAGATGAGTAAACATATGGATTTAACAGAATGTTGTTTGCACATTTAAGTTTCATAATGGATGACACAGAGCCAGCAAAGTCACACAGCATTGTGGAACACACATTAAATCAAACGTATGACTAAATAGTACTGGATGTCACCCACGAGCTCAAAAACCATATTCGACCTAATCATATTTCTTGGAGTGTCAGCACAATGCCCGTGAAAGTGGTATCTACCACAGTGGTAAACGCCTTAGATCACCTCAGGCTTTCGTCCCACATAAAGCTGACATGCAGCGATTATATCTGATATGCTGGCAAAGTAGTGGTTAACACAACTGGATGTCTGACATTAGTAGAGAGTTCCTTCCCAGAATCTTGACGTATTGAGTGTAAGAGGGCCAAAGAGAACAAGTTACTACCAAGTTACCATCCATCTGTTCAACAAAATCTGACAACACTGTACACAGTTATCAATACGTTTATTGTAAGAAATAAAGCGAATCACCTTGATTTCATTTTCTTCTTTCTTGGGTACTGTCCATTGAGCTGTAACTGTTTAGTGAAACGATTATAAGACAGACTGTTAATATGCTCGACCTTTGTGAGCTTCTTAATGACCCTTCAGTTTAAACAATTCACACCAAACTTGTACACACTAATTTTTACACTATTTTCGGGACCACACTGTATCGGGTTTAGGCAGAGAAATATATAAAACAGGCATTACAAAGAATATCCCGACAAGACAACTGTATACAAACAAAGCCATTTCATGCAACTATCCCTCTGATGGCACATAATGTTGTCATAGTGACCTATTCATGACTTAGTGGGCGTTCACTTGCCATAAATTACAAGATTCTAATCCCCAGATGAGCATGTAATGTAAGCCCCAAATGCCCACTCAAAACTTTCGAAAAACAGTTTATCTTCACAGATGGCATACCGCCATGTGGGCACCCTGGTCCTGATTGTAATGATCAGACACTGTTGTGTCCCAACAGATTTGATATTGTCTGTTACAAACTGATATTTAAAATGGGGATGAGCAGCCTCTCAAACTAACATCCTGTACATCCTATAAAACGCCATGCTTCAGGTAGTGTCGTAGGCTTTCTCAAGATTGAAAAATATTGATACATGTTGTTTATTTACGATAGCATTATCAAAGGATTACAATTGTACTAAATGGTGAAGCACTTCGATTTGTACGGAAACCACATTCAATATTTGTAAAAGGATTATTAGTTTCCTAATACAAAAGTAATCAACCATTTACCATTCGTTCCACAGCTTTACAAACTCCTAAGAGATATTATTAGATATGTCTGTATGATCCCGTCAAGGCTTTGGTTTGGGGAAAACGATGGCATTACGCTAAGATAAAGGGAAATTCCCTGAAGTCCATATTTCAACGAATACTAGTATATAGAAAATTGAAGAGACATGATTCGGACAATGCTTCAATAAATGATAATGGATATTATCATAACCTGCTGCTGCATAATCAGCTTGTCCAAAGGAGGTGTGTAGTTCTCTTGAAAATACTTCATTATTGTCTTCACCACTGTGGAATCAAAATCAATTTTTCTTCTGTTGTTTCAGATATCTCTAAAACTCGGGAACATAATTTGACGTTCTAGAGTATTTGGATAGAGTTTCGCTTAGTTTTTTTTTGCAATATTAAATTTATCAGTCATTCTTTAAGAAGGCAAACAGAAGATTTGAAACATTAACATTTTTATGTGTTTAACTATGTTTCACACCTTAATTCAATAGTTGGGGAACATGTTTTTCCACTTTATTCCTACACTTTCTTGCATGGTTGCATTGAGAATTAAAACCATGGCTTACAGTCATTTGCAGAAAACTTACGAATTGTTTGGTCTGCAAATTAAATTAGTTGACCCGAAAATAACTTAAAGCGATTTAGCACATTCCTGAAAATGTAAGTTCTTAATTTCTCAAATTCATAACGTTTTATATAATGGCAAATTGGAATTCGTAAAATTCACAATAGCATTACAAGGGTAGTGAAGTGATCACTTCCATAAAAGTCATCACGCACGTAAGGTGATGAAGACGAATGTTTATCTAAATTTTCGCCAGGTTAGTTTTCTAGATCATGTTAGTTTCGTTCATAACTTATCACCACCCTTATTTATCCGCATCAACACTATCAAGTTGTTTAACCTTTACCCTTGGCACAAGTAAGATTTTCAGTGTTTAAGGTATGTTCAGTAGGTGAGGTGAAATTTGGTTTAACGTCGCGTCCAAGATTATTGCACTTATATAGCGACGTGCATGTACGTGTGTGTGTTTGTGTGGCTGCTTGTACTAGTCCGGACTGATGCCGATTTATAGTGCTAGCTCACTGAGATACCATGCCGCAGTTTAACATGAATACCCCACTCAGACACAGTATACTGACTCCGAGCCGACCAGTCCTTGTTTTAGCCCCTTAATGCCGAGCGCCAGACAGGGTAACAACAAGTAACATCTTTTAACGTCTTTTGGTATGACGCGGCCGGGGATCGAACCCCGGACCTTCCGCTGTCCGGGCGGACGCTCTACCACTAGACCACGGAGGCGGTCTGCGCGCTCGAGGAGGATGATTTACGACTATGTCTTCCAATATTAAGAACTTGTTTGTACATTTGTACTGGGTCACGTTCACTCGATGGACCTCTATCAGATCGTTTGGAATTATCAATTCCGTTTGCTATATTAAACACTTTCCATGTTCTCTTGATAGAGGTATTCCTAATACAGAATCTGAGGTTTTCCTTTTGGTGATATGACAGAGTGTACAGACTGAAGTCCATCTAAGATTTGACATACACTATGAAGGGCAAGATTAGTTTCTGTACAGTTGAAATGGAATAATCTCAACCTCCAGATACATCCTGTATTTGAACTAAAAGTCCAACATTACATGATAGTAGTCTCTACTCTTCCCGGTTTAAGCTGACAATTTCAAATGAGTTACACAAACACTGCAACGCAATAGATAGTATATACCTGTGGTTCAGCATGACAAACAAAGGAACATCTTAGGCAAAGAAATATATAAAACAGGCATTACAAAGTGAGTGAGTGAGTGAGTGAGTGAGTGAGTGAGTGAGTGAGTTCCAGTTATATCGCGGCGTGTCAGCTTAATGTGGGAGGAAAGCCCGAAGTGATGCAGGTCTAAGACGTTTACCCCTTTGGTGAAACCGACGAGCACGGGTATGGTGCTAACAAACCTAGAAACATTATCGAGGCGAACCGGGATTGGAACCCACAATCATAGGTTTCTGGCGTGCCCAAGGGACGCAACTCTGCACAGACGACTGGGCCGACCGTGGCCCCCATTACAAAGAATATCCCGACAAGACAACTGTATAAAAACAAAGCCATTTCGTGAAACAATCCCTGTGATGGCACATTAGGTTGTCATAATGACTTATTCATGACTTATTCACTTGCCATTAATTACAAGATTCTAATCCCCAGATGAGCATGTAATTAGCCCCAAATGCCCACTCAAAACTTTTGAAAAACAGTTGTCAAGTGAGTTTCACAAACACTGCAACGCAATAGATAGTTACTAGCTGTGGTTCGGCATGACAAAGGAACATTTTTTAAGCTAATACAAAACTTGTCAGCTTTGTAATGACAATTGGATTACCTCATTAACTTTATGGGGATACTGACACATTTATAAACTGTACCTGTAGTTGCAGGGACATGTAGTTCTTATGACAGGGAGTCGTTGAACAGGTAACAGTTTAATAGTGTTACAGGACATTGGGGACGAAATGAAATCTTCATATGTTTGCCACATATGAACACAAAAAACACCAAAGGTGATCTGGCTGTTGCTTAAATTATCAGTGAGTGAGTATAGTTTTACGCCGCTTTTAGCAATATTCCAGCAATATCACGGCGGGGGACACCAGAAATGGGCTTCACACATTGTACCCACATTGGGAATCGAACCCGGGTCTTCGGCGTGGCGAGCGAACGCTTTAACCACTAGGCTACCTGACCGCCCCCTTAAATTATCAACAGGCGATCATTAGGATATTAAATCTTGCTGGATATAGTGTGTTTCTGAAGTTACATTTCTGAGGAAATGGAAAAACTATCCACAACTGTATGCCTGGCAGGGCTCTTTACACACATTGATGACAAATAAACTTGTAAACTAATTCTATGAAAACACGTTTGCTGATTATCACATATAAATGACATTCCAAATAAACAACATATTCTCTAATATTAGTAATAATATTGTTAGGTTAGGTTTAACACTGCTTTGAACAGTATTTCAGTTATATCCCGGTGTGTCCGCTTAATATAGGAGGAAAGCCCGAAGTAATGCACAATCGAAACATGGGTTGGTTCTGACCATCAAAATCTTGGACGCGACGTTAAACCCAATTTCACCTCACCTCACCTGACCATCAAAGAAACATAATCATTTCTCATCTGAGTTTCGATCCGACTATCAGTTCCAGGTTACTACATGCTACATGTTCTTACCGTATCGTTGAGAACATAACCCACGGCAGTCACATCTATCATCAGAGCTGTGATGGTGAAGAGGTTTGCTGAACAAAACAACAACTCATCAGTCTGCAGTGATCCCCGGATTAGTCCATACCAAAGAAAACAGATCATTGGTATCCCAAACACATACGTAGCAAATGCAAAGTGGGTGTTAATATTGTTCGCTTGGTCCGATATCAACGAAAGACGTTTGTGCCTCTGACAAAAAGGACCAAATGTGCGTTCAAAATTGTCCATGTCTTCTTCAAGTTTCTTGGATAGTATTTGGAATTCTTTGACAAGAATTGATGTAATTGTGTTGAACAGAACGAGGGCCGCAGATAGCTGAGAACTCACTACTGACAGGAAAAATACATACACCACAAGGAAGGCAGTTCCAGTTGTCCCTTGGTAACCGTTGAATGGAGCCATGTGACGCTCTAGTGACGGGAAGGCATTGCTAATGCCGACTGTGGTACTGGACATAAACCCCAAGTAAAACAAAGTGATTAGAAGGGCAAATAAACGTATTTTATACTTGACGAACTTCAGATATGGTGACGCTCCATATTCAGTGATGTATGACACAAGGAGGTCCTTGAATCTTCCGAAATGTCTTGGAAGAACAAATGTCAGAGTCAGCGACGTGTATGCTACATAGGAGTAGAAACAGAACACCGCCATTGATGAGGTGAACCTACCATCCAGCTGGTTTTCCTCCCAAAATAAAGTACAGTACCTAAGTGCATTGGTCACGGTAACAGACTTCAGGACTACCATCAGGATGACAACTGCACACTTCAATAGCCTTGATTGTTCGCGTCCAAGGTAGAAACCAGAAATTCGCAGAAGTCTGGTGACAGGTTTGAAAATCGATATAACCAAAGCTTGTCCAACACTGTCCACCTTCGTAACCTCCGTATCTTCTACCCACCTATTATCCATGTTGACAAGTGTGTAGCCTCACCAGTGGCGATAGCTGTGATGATAGATGAGGAGACGCAACTTCCCTCCCTTCCCTGCCAAGTGAAAGTTACGATATACATCGGTATGACAGGTCTCATTATGATTCCCTTTACTAGGCAGTGGTTGCATCATGCCTCGTAATAACTGATTGTAAAGCATGTATACACATGTCTGTGATCCATTAAGACAAGGTAGTGACTGATAATGGTCTTGATTTTAAGAGCTTCACAAACATACCATGGGAACTAACAGGAAACATATTTATGGAAATATACCAGCATCAGATGATGAGAAGACATTCAGGGGGATTGTTAATGAATGCAATTTGCTGATGGAAGTGCAGTTTGAAGAGAAATGTAAACATGTGGGGTTATTTTGTTTGATTGTATAACGCAGACTTCAGAAAAAGTGCAGCTTTATGGTCGCGGTCTGTAAATATTTCTCACCACACACCACACCACACCACACCACACCACACCACACCACACCACACACTTAATTGTCATATATTCTCAACTTTCATGTATCTTTTGGAAATATCTACATACGACATTGATAACATTTTCATAAATGTCAAAGATACCACCAAAACGTGCTATAAAGATGTATAACTGTGCTATAAATGATGCAAAGAAGCAGGGAAAGCAATTTAAGGGGAAGTCAAATAACTATGCCATTGAACAGTTAAAAAACATGGTGTTGATATTCGATTTCTGATTCGAGCCGATGCTTTGTCAGCCATTTTAGAATCAGGGGTCCATTTTATATGAAAATATATAGTAAGAGGTGCATAAAAAAATTTCAGGTGTATCTATGTATGTGAATGCATTTACTATCTACATCCTCCCTCCCACACTCAAATCCACCAGAAAGTTTCCTTTGTGTAAACCGTGGAATAACAGGACATCACAAACTTTCTTCTCCGCTCATCCCCAACCATATATTATCCCATCCCAAACCAAATCCAACCCATTCATAACCAACCAGGAAATGGAAAAACACTCACTGAACACCTGCCTCAGCTGAATCGGAAGAACTCATCACATACCCTGAACCACAAAACAATAATACAGATACAGCCCAGTAACCCCAAACCTAAATCCACCCACACATCCCTCACCCCTCCTACCAGCATCTAACACCCCATCCACCTCATGAGAGTGAGAGAGTGAGTATGTTTTTTCGCCACTTTTATCAATATTCCAGCAATATCACGTCAGGGGGACACCAGAAATGGGCTTCACACATTGTACCCGTCGGGAATCGAACCTGGGTCTTCGGCGTGACGAGCGAACGCTTTAACCACTATGCTACCCGACCGCCCCCTCATGAGATAGATAAGTGATGCTTACAACACTTTGACAATCCCTTCTGTCCATCTGCCATCTCATATTTTCCCCCACCATACCATCACCTAATCACCCCCTCCCCACTCTCTCATCTCACATCCCATACATTCATCAACCATCCCACCCAGTCATCTGCCACCCCACCCAATCATCCACAATAAAATCAACCCATTACAGGCCCACTCACTTATTAAAAAAAAAAGGCCATGAAGATCCTGGGTAGAAAAGGTCTTTAGCAACACATGCTTGCAGTAAAAAGCAAATATGCTCGTCATAAGACGCGACTAACGGGATCAGGTGGTCATGCTCACTGATTTGGTTGATGCCTGTCATCGTATCCCAATTGCATGGATGGATGCTCATGACAAACAAACCAATATCCCAAAACAATCCCACCCCAAAACCGTTCATGAACAACACAACTGACAAACACACTGAGATATGAATAAAACATTTAATTAGGACTTTGTATTATATGGAATGAATTAATGAACATGCTGTATGAACATGCTGTATGAACACACTGAATATGAAATTCAATAAATACTGTACTTTGCTTGGGGTAAACAACGTCTAGCTATGATTAATAGTAGCACCGAAACTCCAAGATGAAATCAACAAGATTCTCTAACACACCCATGTCAGCAACACACATGATCACGTCTATCACATCAATTCTACATCTTAGTAAATCTGGCAGTGTTAAATCAAATGCACATCCCGTTGCATACACTATGGCATGTATTATGCTCAGGCCAAAAACTAATATGCGTGTTTCCCGTTTCATCCCATCCAAATACAGGAAGGTTGGCCCTTTCTAGAACTTAACACTAGCCCTCTAGTACAGATTCCTGTCGGCTAGTACACATTTCCCCAATTTCCCCATCGTTCTAAAATCAAAAGGGCATTTTATCTTTACCTGGTTAAGTAAAGCTTAGTTGGTTGGTTGGTTTGTTGTTAAATGCCGCACTCAGCAATATTCCAGCTATATAATAGCGGTCTGTAAATAATCAAGTCTGGACCAGACAATCCAGTGATTAATATCAAGAGCATTGATACACGCAATTGGGATCTATGACATGCATCAACCAAGTCAGCGAGCCTGACCACCCGATCCCGCTAGTCGCCTCTTACGACAAGCATAGTCATCTTTTACGGCAAGCATGGGTAAGCTTTAGAATTTAGCTTTACATCTTGAAGGTTGGCCTTTTGTCCCCATTGATGCATGTTAATAAATGCCTCCCTTCATTTGATGATGAAGCATTGCAATATTGTAGTAAAAGACTGGTTGATCTATTTCGAATGAAACAATTTAATATAAATATAGAAAAGCGGTGGTGTAACTTATTAAACATGAGAAAGATTTTGGTTTACAGGCACCAGATTAGGATTGGTCAGTAAACTGGAAACACACATGGTATTGAGGGCCCTCGTGGTAATACTGAACAACTACCTTTAATAGGCACAATAATCATAATCAGATGAAGCAGTTTCATACTAATACAACTCTGTCTATTTACAATACTCACAAACTGCAACACAGGAGACATTTCAGATAAATAAATCGCTGTACATTTGAACACATATTCCTGTAGCAAACTTACGCAAATAATACCTGTTTGACATTTTGTGGGTGTACATATATTAATATTTCAAATACATATATAGTTTATTCTTACATGTTCAAGTATAAAACCAAAGCATATTTTCTTGGTATGAAAGATGAGACAAAATTATTACAACTGGTTTAACCAAATATGTCACCTTTTCTGAAGCTGACTATACCTCATTGAGCATGGAGTGTAAATGTTACATATTTAATGTTAGACATTTACCCCGAAACTATCAAAGATATAATCTGCTCTAATAATGACATCAGGTTATTCTAATATTAATCATTACACATTTAAAACAAAAGGGGCGGTGGGGTGGTGGAGTGGCCTAGTGGTTAAAGCGTTCGCTCGTCACGCCGGAGACCCAGGTTCATTTACCACATGGGTACGTGTGTGAAGCCCATTTCCGCCGTGATATTGCTGGAATATTGCAGTAGAACCATACTCACTCACTCACTCACCCACACATTTCAAATGCAATACGCACTAAAAAATCTTTTCCTCGTGACTGACTGCTAATCAGATTGAGACGTGAACACCACGCTGTGGGACATCAGGAACTCCGCATGCAATGTAAGCATTCATGTCAACTGGACAGGGGACTTGGGGCAAGTGTGACATGGTGCACGTGGAGGCCATGCTCAGTGTGTATTTGTCAATGCGAAATGTCCAGCCAACACGTGCATTTGTGAACTGACTGTATTTGGTTTGTTGTTTAACGCCGCACTCAGCAATTTTAAAGCTATATGACGGTGGTCCGTAAATAATCGAGTCTGGACCAGACAATCCAGTGATTAATATCATGAGCATCGATCCACGCAATTGGGATCGATGACATGCATCAACCAAGTCAGCGAGCCTGACCACCCGATCCCGTTAGTCGCCTTTTACGACAAGCAGTCACCTTTTATGGCAAGCATGGGTTGCTGAAGACCTCTGTTTTGATTAGTTGTCATTGACTGTTTACATATTAATCACAGATATATTGTTGTCCCACAGACATTGTCTTCCGCTGTTGTCATCAACAGGATTATGCAGATCTGTGAGTTCAAATGCCATTTGTTTGTTCAGCAGTTACGAGACCATAGCCTTTCCATTTAACATCCAATGTGAGTGAGTGAGTGAATTGGGTTTAACGCCGCTCTTAACAGTATTCCAGTTATATCGCGGCGTGTCAGCTTAATGTGGGAGGAAAGCCCGAAGTGATGCAAGTCTCAGACGTTTACCACTTCGGTGAAACCCACAAGCACGGGTATGGTGCTGACAAACCTAGAAACATAATCGGGGTGACCCGGGATTCGAACCCATCCAATGTGAACATGATATCATTCATTTAGATATTTATCAGTTACTAAATCACATTTGACACAAGGAACTGGTCAGGACTTCTGCTTGTCACCAACCTTCATAATGATACATTAATACCACACACAGGAACATTTCCATGCAAAACTCATTCTGTTCTGTGCAACATCTTGCTGCACGTTCATCTGATTGTCTACAGGGAAAAACTCATCTTTGGGCAATAAATAATTTTGACTACTGCAGGTGTTACCACTGCAGAAACACACATGTATACATTATGCTAACACAGACTCAGGTATCACAGACTCGATAAGTTGCCTATCATTGCAACAGTGAAAATCTTGTCAGTGTTCAAGACTATTTCCACGCTGAAGACTTGCCCTTGACTTGAGATGGCTTGCTGCTTGCCAGCTTCCTCTCTACTTTCTTCAGAGGCTGGGACTTGGTGGACTGTCCCGAGTCAGACTTGGTCTGAGATGTATCAAGCACCTGTCACAACCAAACCAATGTCAGCCCAAGCTTTCATTTTACCAGATAAAAAATCGAGTTGTCTGCATGACCTGATTAATAGCAAAAACTAGGGCAAAAGGAGCAACAAATAAAATATAAAATAAAATAAAACAGTAAACTCTTATCATATTTTGCATTGAACGTTAAACCATTATCTCATCATTCTTTGGCTTTTTTCTTCATTACTTAATGCTCACCCAAAAAATGAGGAACAGTATTTTTTTCACCCAGGCAATTGTTTCTAAGGCATATAGAAAATTCAGCAAATTTCAGAAACCTCCAACTGTCCCTTACCATTCCAAAGAATGAACACAGTTATTTCTTTGTCTTATCTCACCTATGTAAACCATGTCATAAGAGAAAGTAATGCTAAACAGCCACTATGGTAAAAGTCTTCTGACCTTGCCCTGTGGTGCTGGGTTAGCCCGCACTGACGGAGGCTTCTTCTGGTTCACTGGGACAGCTGCCTTCATCCTGCGGCCGGACCGCGGTGACTGTTTCCCCGATATCGCAGACCCCTTCTCCTCACCTGTGTGTCCCGGCAAGCTGAAAGTAGTACCTCACACTAGCATCATGCAGTGAGTGAGCACTGATTTGAGCAATATTTCAGCTATGGAGGGTCATCGGAAATGGGCTCAACACATTTCCCTGTTTGGGGAATTAGACACAGATTTACAGCATGACAAGCAAACAATTTTACTAAAGGGCAAGGAACTAATGGTACCCAAATGGTTCACACCAACTTCTGGGTGAGGGCTGGGTGAGGGCTGGATGAGATCTGGGCTGGGGCTCGGTGGGGGTTAGGTGAGGGCTAGGTTCGGGTTGGATGAGGGCTAGGTGAGGGGTGGGTGAGGGGTGGGTGAGGGCTAGGTGAGGGCTGGATGAGGGCTAGGTGAGGGCTGGGTGGGGGCTGAGTGGGGGCTGGGTGAGGGCTAGGTGAGGGCTGGGTGAGGGCTAGGTGAGGGCTGGGTGGGGGCTGAGTGGGGGCTGGGTGAGGGCTAGGTGAGGGCTAGGTGAGGGCTAGGTGAGGGCTGGGTGGGGGCTGAGTGGGGGCTGGGTGAGGGCTGAGTGAGGGCTAGGTGAGGGCTAGGTGAGGGTTGGGTGAGGGTTGGGTGAGGGCTGGGTGAGGGCTGAGTGAGGGCTGGGTGAGGGCTGGGTGAGGGCTGGGTGAGGGCTGGGTGAGGGCTGGGTGAGGGCTAGGTGAGGGCTAGGTGAGGGTTGGGTGAGGGCTGGGTGAGGGCTGGGTGGGGGCTGGGTGAGGGCTGAGTGAGGGCTGAGTGGGGGCTGGGTGAGGGCTAGGTGAGGGCTGGGTGAGGGCTGGGTGAGGGCTGGGTGGGGGCTGGGTGAGGGCTGAGTGAGGGCTGAGTGGGGGCTGGGTGAGGGCTAGGTGAGGGCTGGGTGAGGGCTGGGTGACGGCTGGGTGAGGGCTGGGTGAGGGCTGGGTGAGGGCTGGGTGAGGGCTGGGTGAGGGCTGGGTGAGGGCTGGGTGAGGGCTGGGTGAGGGCTGGATGAGGGCTAGGTGAGGGCTAGGTGAGGGCTAGGTGGGGGTTGGGTGAGGGCTAGGTGAGGGCTAGGTGAGGGCTGGATGAGGGCTGGATGAGGGCTAGGTGAGGGGGAGTGCAAGGTGAGGGCTTGGTGAGGGTGGCAGTGGCAGTGGCAGTGACGTACTGTTGTGTGTGGCCCTGCAGGAGGTGCAGCAGTCTGTTGACGGAGTCCTCCCCCGAATGCTGATCCCCCTGCTCTCGGTACTGGTCCAGCAGCCGTGAGATCTCCGCCAGCTGCTCCGGGGCCAGTACTCGAGATCCACCTGAAACATCAGGAATGACAAAATGGCATTTATGACTATCCAAGGTGCATGTGGGTAACAGAACCTGCTCATTTGCCATCATTAGTCTTCAAAATATTTTTGGAAATGTTGCCATATGTCCAGTGTTCCTTAAGCCATAGTGTTGTCGGTCTCATAGTTGAACTTTTGTATGCATAATTACAAAAGAAAATTCAGATCTATTTTACACAACTTAATTTTTTTAGTATATGTGGTTTCGTAATATACTTTTTGGAAGATGTACAGTCTTCTTTATCTATGAGAAACTGCTACCACCATGAGTGAGTTTGAAATAATATTGACCTACCCTGTCTGTCGGCGGATCGGTGTGCACCGTCTCTCTCTGGCAGCACTGAACCCAGCACACTGTCTCTCTGAGTCTACAAGACAGAAGAAAGACATACTCACTTTGTGGAGATTACTGGATAGAATCACTTCCTCCACAGAGAGGGCAGGGACATGGGCTGATGGGCGAGCAGGATGACAACAATGAGTTACCCAGATGACCACCAAGTGCCACCAACTTCACTCTTCGATCTCCATCTTAAGAAAGCCTTTGAGTCCAACAAAATGTCTGGAAACTCCAAAGTAACTCAAAACCTTTTCTTTTGAATCAACACTGTAGTATTGCCACCATCATCACTATTGACAGAGCATGAAATGTTCATTTGAACTGAACTTCCAAGTTATACAAGAGGTTGTTCTGTGTTTCTAAGACCCAACAAACAGTCATCATGGCTACAGTCTTAGATGTGAGAGGGTGTATTAAACTCTAAAAGCTGTTGAACATTGACTATAAATTAGTGGGTTCCTTGATCCAAATACTATAGCAGAAAACCCCAATGCAAGAAGCCTTCTGGCACCTCCCATCTGATTCACCCTCGAACACCTCTTATCTGACTCACCACCCTACACCTCCCATCTGACTCGCCACCCGACACCTGACTCACCATCTATCAGACTCACCATCCAACACCTCCCAATTGACTCACCACCCTACACCTCCCATCTGACTCACCACCCGACACCTACCACCTGACTCACCACCCATCAGACTCACCATCCAACACCTCCCAATTGACTCACCACCCAACACCTCCTATCTGACTCACCGCCCGACACCTTCCACCTGACTCATCACCCAACACCTCCTATCTGACTCACCACCCGACACCTACCCCCTGACTCACCACCCATCAGACTCACCATCCAACACCTCCCAATTGACTCACCACCCAACACCTCCTATCTGACTCACCGCCCGACACCTTCCACCTGACTCATCACCCAATACCACTTACTCAACACCTTCCATCTGCCTCACCACCCAACACCTTCCACCCAACACCTTCCACCCAACACCTCCTATCTGACTCACCACCTGACACGTACCACCTGACTCACCACCCAATACCACTTACTCAACACCTTCCACCTGACTCGCCACCCAACACCTCCTATCTGACTCACCACCCAACACCTCCCATCTGACTCACCACTTGGTCTCTAAGCTGCTGCAGTCGGCGGAGTTCTCTGTGGAGTTGTGCGGCCTGTGCTGTGTCGTTAAGGTCTAGCTCTACTGTAACACACACAGCAGGTGAAGGAGCAGCAAACAATAGCCAAATTGTAATGGTGTCCTTTCGTTAAAACTACACAGTTATTTTGAGTTAATTTTCCCAAGGCTCCAAATTAAGGACTTGAATCACACTCAGGCGCAGCTCAACACCACTGCCATAGGAAAATTTGCATATCATGTGACCAGATTTCTGAAGTCAGAACTGACTGGTCTAATGCAAGCCTTTCGGTGCACTTGACATATTGTTTTGCATAATTATATAGATATTCTACTACAACTGCAAAAGTGAAGTGCATGACTTCGATGACAGCATGTGGAGCCGTACAACCAATGTAAACAAAGGTTTTCCACGTTTTAGGATATTTTCTCAATAAAAGATAACCTAAAGTTATGACATGTTTATCTAGATGAGTAGACTCATCAAAAATGAAACAGTTGAAAAACAAATACAATATCTTGAATGGACTGTGTAAGATGTGATGAAATGTCACATGGCGCTGGTGCTGGCCCAGGGTAGGAGAGTGGACTTGACTATTTAATTTAGTTGTTCAGTTCAGTTGTTATGGCTACAAAGGAGAATCTGCCCACCTGTCATTTCCCTGGATGTCTCGAGGATATCAGAACCAAGAGGGATGTCATGTTCCGGGGGTTCTGGTACCTCCCCTGGGGGTCTGTCCAGCAACTATGGCAAGAAATCACAGCAAATGAGGCTTACAATTGACAAGAATTATTTTGCAAGGCAGAATTTTTAAATCACAGTCGCTGAGGCGATAATTGAGTAGGCCCGTGATGGTGACGGAATCAATTAGTGTCAAGCGCTTTACTGAACATTGGGACTGCACCCATCAAGCATACAAGAGACAGTCGGCTGTCTCACATACATGTTATGTATGCAACTGATCAACGGAAACAAAGGACAGGCCAAGAATTGTCTCTTTGAAAACTAGGTCATCATCTTTTATGTATGAAAAAATGCCAATCAAACAATTTAATGGTGATTTTTATAACTTCCATTAATCTGTATGTATTTGGGCTTGATATTTCTTGTGGACGGACACAACAAATCATACATATACGGAAGTTGCAGGAAAGTTCATATAGCGAGTGAGTGAGTGGGTTGGGTTTAACACCGCTTTTAGCAATATTCCAGCAATAACACAGCGGGGGACACCAGAAATGGGCTTCACACATTGTACCCATGTCGGGAATCGAACCCGGGTCTTCAGCGTGACGAGGGAACGCTTTAACCACAAGGCTACCCGACTGCCCCTCATCCATATACGGAAGTTGCAGGAAAGTTCATTAAGCTTTCCAATCATAGCAGAGGCTTCAACAATCTGCCTCCAGTCTACTGTACCATCTTGATGTAGTGCTGCAGTTCATTCTGGCGGGACTCATGCTCAGCCAATCTGTCAGATATCTGGCTGTAATCTGCATTCAACCTGCAACAGGAGTCATCTGTAGTCTGGACAACGCCATCATTCACACTACTCATTAAGAGCACACACTGTATCAATTATATCGATAAACAAATCTCATCATGAAAGTAAACCTTGTGGATCTGAAATCAAGTTTTCTTATTACAAAGATTAGTGTTCAGTCTGCCATATTTTGAAAAAAAAATTCAATCTTTTCATTACCGTATTCGATGTAATAAGCACCCATGGCGCTCTCAAAATTAGAAATTGGGGGCTCTTATTGGAATATAATTTTGGTGAAAGAGTTGAAAGATCATAAATTTCGTGGTTTATGCTGACAGCCTGAAATGATACAAAAGAAAAGTTTGTGTGTATTATACACAACAGATATATTTTTCCAGAGTTTAATTGCCTGTAATTAAGGTTGCATATAACACACGAGCTCTCTGTGGGTCTAATGAAGTGATACACAGATCTAACTACCTGACAGTCTGCTCCAGGGTGTCACTGAGGTTGTCTACAGTGTTGGGCTCTCTGTGAGTCTAATGAAATGATACACAGATCTAACTACCTGACAGTCTGCTCCAGTGTGTCACTGAAGTTGTCTACGGTGTTGGGCTATTTGTGGGTCTCCAGTATGTCACTGAGGTTTTCTACAGTGTTGGGCTCTCTGTGGGTCTAATGAAGTGATACACAGATCTAACTACCTGACAGTCTGCTCCAGTGTGTCACTGAGGTTGTCTACAGTGTTGGGCTCTCTGTGGGTCTAATAAAGTGATACACAGATCTAACTACCTGACAGTCTGCTCCAGTGTGTCACTGAGGTTGTCTACAGTGTTGGGCTCTCTGTGGGTCTAATGAAGTGATACACAGATCTAACTACCTGACAGTCTGCTCCAGTGTGTCACTGAGGTTGTCTACAGTGTTGGGCTCTCTGTGGGCGTGTCTGGGATTGTACCCCTCCTCCTCCTGGGACTGGCGACTCTGCTTCACTGGGGGGGACATACCGGGCTGTGTGTACACCCCTCGGGGAGTGAGGGAGTCTGAAAAAGAAAAGTGGGTTTATTCAGCCAGACAACTTCATAAAACCAGGAACTTTACAATGTACTTCAAAAGGTGTTTCGCATGGTAAACAAAATAAGTAAGTGAATATATCTATTCTGTGTTATGTTTAACCTTGTGGTAAATCATTACAGTCAAAGGTATTGCTGATGGATATGCATCAGGGTTGGCAGCCTTGGAAAACCTGTTACCATACCTAATTAACAGAATGATGGACCTTGGTAAAATTTCAGTTGCATAACTCTAAAACAACTGCATTCGCAGTGACAACATCTCCTAATTAGGTCACACCAGGTAGTTCTTTGGTTGAAGTATTTTCTTGGTCAATGACAAGGCAGGAACAAAATAGTGCTCAACATTTAAAATGTCCAGCCTGACTTGAGGCTGCTTATTTAGATAAAAATATTTTTGAGATAAATTTAAACAAAAGTAAAATCAAAGATGCATACAAAAATGTGCATATTACAATCAAACCCATTTTTCCGTTTTGCAAAATCAGGCACAGGTCGATCTATAAAATGGTTGGTGGGATTAATATAGTCTTTAAGTAAAAAGTATCATTTTGTCAAGGATGTTTCCTGGAAGATTTGGTAAAAATTTAGAGCTGGCATATGTGGGAGTGTTCTAGGGGCATCATGTAAGTCAGTCTATTGATGATATGAAGAAGTGCACCGTAAACATCAAATTGTCAAAAAAAAGGGTGTTATATTTGAAACAAAAAGGAATTATATCTAATTTTACAGCACGTCCCACATTTCTTACTGGCACCAACTAGGAAGTCACATCATTGTAACCTTGTTGTGAGACTTGTTGATACATGTTAGTAATAATTAATGCATTAGATTTCATCTATTTGCAGAAACATAACAGCAAACAATTTAAAATAAAATCATTTTGATAGATTGATTGAATAATAAAGAGTAAGAAATATCTATCTTTGAAACAGCTAAATACTTGCACAGACCAGCTGACAACCTTACTATTGACACGATTGTTACAGTCAGTTACTGTTGTCAAGATAAAGTCAACTACCATCATCTGAGTCTTCATACTCCTTGGACTTCTGGGTCTTCCGTCGACTCCTGTGTTTAGCTGGCGATGGCGGTACTTGACCCCAACCTTGACCTTGTGAATACACGTGACTTTGTTGCTGTGGTGGCTGCAACATGACTGCTGCACCGGGCTGACTGACCAGATTAAGTAATGCTTGATTCTGATTGGCCAGTGTTTGTAAATGAACACTTTGATTGGCTGGATTGACAGAGCCATGACTGAGCAAATAGCCATGAATGTTCCGAGGTATCTGAAGTCCCTGACTGTGAAAGTGAGGTAAGAGACTCTCATCTAGATTGAGTTCAGGAAATGTCATTCCTTGGAGTCTAGAGTCGAGGACAGTTCCAGCAGTGTCCACATCAGTGGGATGTCGTGGGACCTGGCTGCTGGACGTGCCTGATGAGAAGGACTGGTTGTGGACCCCGCCACCACTTGATACAAGGAAGTCTGGAATGAAACCATAGGCATCACAAAACGCTACTGGTGCAGGGCTTGAAAAATCCACTCGTCCGTTTGTTTGAGGAGTGGCAGGGTGAGAAAGTATTGAAGAAACGCTCGTTCTACCAGGCCAGTACATGTTTCAAACGAATCAATTCATCTCTATTCATTTTCAATAAAATATAATAACAATTAAATACATGTTGCTCATATGATAAATATACGACATACTTGGCAACTGTCTGTTACAGAAATAAAAAACTAGTTTTTTGGGGTGGTGGTGGTGAAATGGGGTTTAATGTCGTGTCCAGGATTATTGAGCTTATATAGCGATGTACATGCACGTGTGTGTGTGTGGCTGCTTGTACTAGTCCGGACTGATAGCGATTCATAGCACTAACTCACTGAGATACCATGCCACAGGTTAACATGAATACTCCACTCAGCCACAGTATACTGACTCCGAGCCGACCAGTCCTTGTTTTACCCCTTAATGCCGAGCACTAGGCAGGGTAACAACAAGTACCATATTTAAACGTCTTTTGGCATGACGCGGCCAGGGATCAAACCACTCTGGCACTAGACCACGGAGAAGTGGGAGTGGGTGGTCCAATGTCTCCGATGAGGAGGAGTGATTATTGCCCACATCACTACTCAACACATTATTGGTTTAGTCTTGTTGAGAAAGATTATGAGAAAACTTTTTCCTCATTGGACAGTTACAATGCTACACATGCTTACCCTGGCTGCCAGGCTGAACAGCACTGTTACTTGTTGGTAAACTGTAAAATAAACATATTCCATCTAAAAATCAACATGTAACACATCTGGACTCCAATGGTGACAGAATGTCCCAAACTGAACACACTCCAGACACCAGTTAATGTATTCCTAGACTGTGTCATCAATCAGGTGCCCCACCCCCACTGCACACACCAGTTTGTCTCCGAATCCCTGTGTTGTCCTATCTCACCCTCACTGCACACACCAGTTTGTCCCCGAAGCCCTGTGTTGTCCCGTCCCATCCAACCCTCACTGCACACACCAGTTTGTTTCCGAATCCCTGTGTTGTCCCATCTCACCCCCACTGCACACACCAGTTTGTCTCCGAATCCCTGTGTTGTCCCATTTAACCCTCACTGCACACACCAGTTTGTCTCAGAAGTCCTCTGTTGTCCCATCTGACCCTCACTGCACACACCAGTTTGTCTCAGAAGTCCTCTGTTGTCCCATCTAACCCTCACTGCACACACCAGTTTGTCTCAGAAGTCCTCTGTTGTCCCATCTAACCCTCACTGCACACACCAGTTTGTCTCCAAATCCCTGCTGTCCCGTCCCGTCCCGTCCCACCCTCACTGCACACACCAGTTTGTCTCTGAATCCCTGTGTTGTCCCGTCCCGTCCCGTGCCATCCCACCCTTACTGCACACACCAGTTTGTCTCTGAATCCCTGTGTTGTCCCGTCCCGTCCCGTCCCATCCCACCCTCACTGCACACACCAGTTTGTCTCTGAAACCCTGTGTTGTCCTATCCCGTCCCGTCCCATCCCACCCTCACTGCACACACCAGTTTGTCTCTGAATCCCTGTGTTGTCCCGTCCCGTCCCGTCCCATCCCACCCTCACTGCACACACCATTTTGTCTCTGAATCCCTGTGTTGTCCCGTCCCGTCCCATCCAACCCTCACTGCACACACCAGTTTGTCTCTGAATCCCTGTGTTGTCCCATCTAACCCTCACTGCACACACCAGTTTGTCTCCGAATCCCTGTGTTGTCCCGTCCCGTCCCGTCCCATCCCACCCTCACTGCACACATCAGTTTGTCTCTGAATCCCTGTGTTGTCCCGTCCCGTCCCGTCCCATCCCACCCTCACTGCACACACCAGTTTGTCTCAGAAGCCCTCTGTTGTCCCATCTAACCCTCACTGCACACACCAGTTTGTCTCCGAATCCCTGTGTTGTCCCGTCCTGTCCCATCCCACCCTCACTGCACACACCAGTTTGTCTCTGAATCCCTGTGTTGTCCCGTCCCGTCCCGTCCCGTCCCGTCCCATCCCACCCTCACTGCACACACCAGTTTGTCTCTGAATCCCTGTGTTGTCCCGTCCCGTCCCGTCCCGTCCCATCCCACCCTCACTGCACACACCAGTTTGTCTCAGAAGCCCTCTGTTGTCCCATCTAACCCTCACTGCACACACCAGTTTGTCTCCGAATCCCTGTGTTGTCCCGTCCCGTCCCATCCCACCCTCACTGCACACACCAGTTTGTCTCAGAAGCCCTGTGTTGTCCCATTTAACCCTCACTGCACACACCAGTTTGTCTCTGAATCCCTGTGTTGTCCCGTCCCGTCCCGTCCCATCCCACCCTCACTGCACACACCAGTTTGTCTCTGAAGCCCTGTGTTGTCCTATCCCGTCCCGTCCCATCCCACCCTCACTGCACACACCAGTTTGTCTCTGAATCCCTGTGTTGTCCCGTCCCGTCCCGTCCCATCCCACCCTCACTGCACACACCATTTTGTCTCTGAATCCCTGTGTTGTCCCGTCCCGTCCCATCCCACCCTCACTGCACACACCAGTTTGTCTCAGAAGCCCTGTGTTGTCCCATCGCACCCTCACTGCACACACCAGTTTGTCTCCGAAACCCTGTGTTGTCCCGTCCCGTCCCGTCCCGTCCCATCCCATCCCACCCTCACTGCACACACCAGTTTGTCTCCGAATCCCTGTGTTGTCCCATCCCACCCTCACTGCACACACCAGTTTGTCTCAGAATCCCTGTGTTGTCCCGTCCCACCCTCACTGCACACACCAGTTTGTCTCAGAATCCCTGTGTTGTCCCATTTAACCCTCACTGCACACACCAGTTTGTCTCCGAAGCCCTGTGTTGACCCATCCCACATGGTGTTGACCCATCCCACTTGGTGTTGACCCACCCCATCTTGGTGTTGACCCAACCCACTTGGTCTTGACCCACACCTGTTAATGTATTCCTCCACCCGGTCTGTCTCTGCTGCCCGCTGGTGCCCCACCCGACCCTCCTCCATCCTGACTGGTGGGTGTGTTTCCCCTTCTCTGTTGGGGCTGCTGGTCTTTGGCTGGCTGGACGTAACAATGCTCAGGTTGAGATGACCAGGGGGGTGTGCAGTCTGACTCTGGGTTGCATGGGATATACTGGACACAAACGACCCATTTAATGCCTGTTAAAACAAGAGAAAACAACTGAAAAAAACAGTGATAAAGGGCTCCATACAACTTCATCGAACATCTTTGCAGATAAATTGTTCAATAACCTTGAAGAATTTTGCCAAGGAGCTTCAGGTAAACGGATCAACATCTGAATTGGACACAAAAACTCAAGTTTGGTTTCCATGCCAACCCATGCAATTTCAAGCTGCTAAGACATACAAAGTTTGAAAGTTGCTGAGGAGTATAGGGTAAACTGTGTCGTTTTAGATGAATTTTGAGTTATCTACACTTTGTCCCTAGAATTATGAATCTGGATTTAAGATATATATCTTAAATGAGTCTGGATTTAAGATATATATATGCACTGGTCCTCATGAATCTACATTCTGGTGATTATTATGGACAGTGTTGGAAGACTGGTTCTTGAGTGACACTTGGTACAAAAAAAACCCCGACTAAACTTTTTGATACACATCATACAGCCTTTACATAATTACAAATTATTTTTTGCAGCTTACAAACACAAAGCAAATAAGTTGTTTCAGTCTGTCAAGAATTGGTCTGCATCAGCATCCTATAGGAGCTTTCCAACCCCATAGCGCTTCTAGGGATGAATAATCAACGGAGACCGACGCTTGTCATGAGAACCATCTTCTGAAGAAGGAGAGTCAGACATTGCGTTGTTGCTAATGCTATCAGTGACTGGTTTGACTGGACAAGATTGAGTAATTTTCACGCCCCGATGATACACCTGGACTGTTGTTGACTGCAGCATAACACACATTCACAATGTTCCCTCCTTCGCCTTCATTTCCTCCTCCACAGTCCAGGCCACACTACACAACATCATCAAGTTGTTTGCACGAAATAGGAAAACAAAGCAGTATTTATTCCATAGCATACTCAGACACAGTATACTAACTCCGAGCCGACCAGTCCTTGTTTAGCCCCATAATGCCAAGCACCAGACAGGGTTACAACAAGTACCACCTTTTAGCGTCTTTTGGTATGCCGCGGCCGGGGATCGAACCCTGGACCTTCCGCTCTTTTATTTTATTTTGTTCCAAACACGGAATAGATTGACGTATGTAGCCCTATCTTACCTTACACACAAACGTCAGATTCTGATTGGACGCGACCCATTCTATTATTTTCAAAGTACCCGCTAATGGTGGTACATTTGTTATGGTCCCGCTCAAATTTGATGAACTGTTGTCATTACATTTGTAACAAACCAATCACAATTTCTTATCTCGAGTTAATGATGTAAGACACCATTCTCCAAACATTTAAGATATTTTCCAAATGAAATAGAACTAGGGGATTAACTCAAATTTGCTTTCTGCCATCTTCTATTTTTTTTATGAATGTGAAAAATGAACGAAGTGCATATATGCCCAACTACTATTCTTACCTATTCGGATCAAAGCAAGCATGCACAACACATTCCTGCCACTTGATTAGGTTTGCGGTAAAACGAATTATTACTTGCCCGTGAAGAAATCACCCGTTTAATAAATATACAGCTGTATTCCACATCGTGTAATACCAAACCGCGTGCTTATGTACTCTCGGAACACGTTTCACGAACAAATATTGAAAGCTCTCAATATCCCTTGGCTTATTCAACGACATTGTGTGTGGAGATGATAGATCACTGGGAGGAGCTTATGCACACTCGATGACCCCAGCAACCTTGTTGCATGGCTGACGTCACAAGGCATTGTTTTGCCGATGGATCTTGCAACAAAATTCCACAAATTACGTCGGGGATTGTGACGTTATTGTAAACTTTGAGGTGCAAGGCCCCGTTCCACAAGGCGATCGTATTGTAGCGCAACGACAGTCGTTAGTATGTAGTACGTTTCAACTTTTGACGTGTTTGAAGTATTATTCTGTTAAACTCAATTGGATTATGCCATGGATCGTGTAGGTGTCAGCCTATTCACACTCAACAGTATAATTCTAAAAACATTATAAATGGCAAGTAATAAATAAAATACTACACTCGCTCGTCAGATACCACAACTACTCACTCGTTTCATAAAATTGGTATTACACGGGAGCTCGTTTAGTACTCTGTATTTCATTGTCCACCAGTCCCTCAGGTGTCATGGGTTTGGGGAACATCAACTAACATAGAGGGTACATGCACCTGGGGGGAAAGTTCTATTGTCACATGTACCATCCATCTTCTATTCATTACCCCTGTCTGGTTTGGACATGGGACAAGGCAGCCCTCGGAGTGCCACCACGCCCACCATGGTTCTAACCTGAGTCTTCCTCTGCGGGGTGTTGACCAGGAGGGACACTGCCTCATTCCACTGGGTCTGCATCATGTACTGGAACTTGGTCAGAATCTCCATCCTAGAGGCACACATTCAACCCAATTACAGGTGGCAACACAACATATTAAAGAAATAAACAACGAGGGGGATTGGTTTTACAGGGAGAATAAAGACAGGTGCAGTCAATTTACAATTTTGTTTGGCTGTTTCCATGTTGTTTAACACAATTAAATTTTTTTAAATTCCAACTTTATGAAATCGGTCTGTAAATAATCAAGTCTGGACCAGACAATCCAGTGGTTGACATGTGCATCAACTGGGATATGATGATATGCATCAACCAAGTCAGCGAGCCTGACGACCCAATCGTGTTAGTCAACTCTTACAAGCATAGTCATCTCGAACATGGGTTGCTGAAGAACCATTATAATCCAGATCTTCATGGGTCCAATTTACAATGTCACCAAGTTGCGAGCGTATATTCAAACCTCCAGAAATGATGTCAAGATTGAAAAATGTGTTATCGTGACATAAGCCATGCCTTGGTCTTCATTGTTCTCGCAATTTATCCTGAAGCTATCTAATATTTAACAATAAACCACGATAGTAGAAATAAACGCCAGCTTCAGTCAGTCAGATGATTCTTCATGTGATGCTAACATGACTCAATGAATACAACAAAAATGTCAGAAGTCTGTCTAACACAACATACTGACCTCTGCGACTCCAGCTTCTGCTTGGAGTGCTTCAGGTTGGAGTTCTCCGTCCTGTACTCCTCCAGTCTGTAGACAAACAAGCAGACACAGTAGTGAGGTGCAGGACGGCACACTATTACCTCTATACACTTATACTGCAATACGCTCTTCAGACAATACACATTGCAATATGTTTTCTGTTCTGAGATTTTGGACCAAAAAATATATAACAACTTTCCGTTTAATTTGTATCATTTAACTCAAAATCAAAACAGAAATCATTCACAAACAAGGGCAAAAGTGAGCGTGGCTCACTAATACCCCCGAACCTGCCAAGTGTGTCAATAGTTTCAAATTAAATAATGGATAGGGTTATGGTTTTAAAAATACATTTAAAAAATGGAAAATTAATAAAAACAATATATTTCTTTTGACTGCACCCCTCCATGTGACACAGATTATATGTACTAAGTTTTAGATGAATCCACTGAATAGTTTAAGAGAAATCGCGCGGACAAAGTTTTCGGACAGACAGACGGATGGATGGAACCTTGGTATAACTATATACCTCCGGCCTAAAAGGTCGGGGGGTATAATATATTTCCCTTCAAATTGCTTGTCAAAAGGTGGAAATGCTGAAGAGAGTTGACCATCAGGAGTAATATAAATTTACCATAAATAGTACATAGAAAATAGGATCTGCAATAACATCAGTGTCAATAACTGTCAAACACATCAGCTCTCAATATATCGCAATATATATATATATTGCACTACAGATACCGTTACCAGTTGTGCAATATATTGCAATTCAATTTCTTTTCCCATTAGTACTGAGGTTACCTCTCATGGGACAGAATATTTTTTCTGTCTATGCTTCAAGACATACAATAACTTTCCTTGCTAGGAGCTGGCAGATATATTTTGGTGAACACACAACTCATTTCCCTTTACATTTTTATTTTCAGGGGTAAAAAAGTGAGGACATATTATTTTTATCAAATATTAGCCAAAAAACATAATACAGCGGGCCCTCTAGGAAATCATATTGTATGCATAAAAAGGTTGCCAGGTACTGATGAATATTCCTGACTGTGGAACATATATATATATATTTTTTTTTTCTAAAAGCCTATGCAAGTCTAGATTAAACAAAACCAAGTCCAGTCTATTGATTCCACATATTGGAACAGCAGAAGAGGAAAGGCCTTTTGAAAAAAAACACAATTATTTAAAAGAAATGTTTTCACAGACTTAATGTTAGTCTAGGCACTGAGTTAATTCATTTTCAAACATGGATAAAACAAACTATGAAGACAGAATTTGAGACTGTTTGACCAAACTACTTGTCCACATCACATTCCAAACATGTTATATGTCATGCAATCCAAACGTGGGAGCTGTCACTACAATGAAATTGTATCACAATGCTTTAAAGACCGGTATGATGTCATCGGTTACCATGATGTCACAATCAAACGACATCACTAATCTCTCTGCCACTGATTCTGTAGCTGTACCCTTACACTCAACACACTGGTCTTTCACATAAAATGTTATATTTGAACTCTATTTGACTCTTTGTATACTTCGGCAGAAAACAAGTCCTGGGCCAACTTGCACAAAGCGATCTTAGTGCTAAGATGTTTGAACCTCCCATACTTTAACATAGGCTTACAACAGTCTTACACTGGTGACCATTATGCATTTGTATAATTTAGCTCACATTCTCCCGTTGGTGGGTGCAGAAGTCAACCCATAAATTACCATTAGGCAGAATCAAAACAACTGTGTTTCAGGTTTGTCATTTTTCCTCCATTTTTCAATATTAATGGGTGAGCAGATCCTTATTTTACATCAAATCCTCGAATCGTTTAAGTAGATCTCTAGATCATGGTTTTACAGCAATTACAGCAGACTTGCCATCAGCATGCTTTTCAAAGAATTAAGATTTGCTTTCAAAGCTCCTTATTCGAATGATGTCTCTTCCCCCAGCATCCCTCTCTCCTACCTCTCCTCCACCTCCTGTATCTTCTGCCTGTAGTTGTCCTCCGTCCTGCGGGCATCGTCGTGCATCTGCTGCATCTGTCGCTCCGTGTCCTTCTGATGCCTGCCATGTATCTCTGTCACCTGGCGTCGGTGTTTCTCCTGCAGCTCCTCCAACGCCTCCTCCATCTTCTCATGCACCTCGCCCACCTGCTCCGATATCTGAGGAGAGATTTACCAATAACTACAGCTGTCCCACCTGCTTCGATATCTGAGGAGACAGTAACCAATAACTACAGCTGTCCCACCTCTCCCACCTGCTCCGATATCTGAGGAGAGATTTACCAATAACTACAGCTGTCCCACCTGCTTCGATATCTGAGGAGACAGTAACCAATAACTACAGCTGTCCCACCTCTCTCACCTGCTCCGATATCTGAAGGGACAGTAACCAATAACTACAGCTGTCCCACCTGCTCCGATATCTGAGGAGACAGTAACCAATAACTACAGCTGTCCCACCTCTCCCACCTGCTCTTTTGATATGGATGTCAATTACAAATTCAAGTTTCAACATTTTAATCTACAGGTAAGACTCTCAGTCTCAGTAATAAACTGGGGGTCCCATGCTGGGGACATGTGGCATGTTGCAAGAAATGACTATTTTTGTCATCATGACAATGGGTGGTCAGGCTCGCTGAGTTGGGTGATGCATGTCATCGTATCCCAATTGCGTAGATCGATGCCATGATGCCAATCACTGGATTGTCTGGTCCAGACTCGTTTATTTACAGACTACCGTCACAAACCTGGAATATTGCTGAGTGTGCCGTTAAACAAGGAACAAAACAAGATGACCCTACCTCCTTCTCCATCTGTGAGTGCAGGTCGGCCTCCATCTTCCTCTGGGAACTCTCGAACTTTGCCTCAAGGATAGCCATCTCCACCTTCAGACTCTCCTGCAAGTACAAGGCCATACTTGACTGCACTAAACATGACAGCACCTTCACACTCTCCTATAGTACATACAAACATCCAAAACTTGAGGAATTTCTAAGGCCTTTTCAAGCTGCGTCTTACAACAGATTTATTACAAATTGTTCACCTTCATTGTCAGAATCAATGGCTTGATTTGTTCATCCAAAAATACAAAAAAATATTGAAGTCAGCTCACCTTAGTGTTTCAATATTAATGGAGTTACATGCTAACATGATGTCCTCACACATTATCAGAAGTAAAAATAATTGTCATATATTTATTTACGGTAGAGTTAACCATGGTTGTCAAACAAGCCAAATTCTAGGCCTATTCAAGGCATTTCATCAAACTGTAAGGCATCTTCAAAGCAGATTCTGATTAAAGCATTTTCTAGCTGGTGCATTATAACACTGTGAAAACTGGATGTATAAACCTCTGTCATATTTTTTCACACAGCTAAAATACATATTTGCTTACACATCACTGTACATGAGGACAGAAATTCGGCAAGTTATGACTGATAAAACTATATAAGATAGCTATGCGACAAATATCAAAGAACAATGAAGAACGACGTATGGTTTATTTCACGATAAAACAAAACATTGTTCTATCATGACATCATTTCGAACTTGATGACGTCGTAAACTAGACAGTATTTTTGAGAGGCAAGCGTCTAGTGAGTTGTTACCCATAAATGTAGCTGGCCAAACGATCACATCCAAGAATAGGACAGATATGACAATCAAGATTGGGAGAAAAGGTACAGATAATAGACGCAAAAATTGTGAGAATATCTGGAACATAGCAAACTAAACCCCTTTGTTACTAAAATGGACTTGTCTAACATTGCGGAGTTCAGATTGTACTCATTATTTGAATACGGGTAAATATTTTTATAGCTTGTACATTTTATTAAGATCCTTAAAGAGGCTGTACATAACTTTGATATCTCATATAGAAAATAAACAACTTGTGGTCATTGTTTATTGTACAATAAAACACAGCAGGGAGAATAAAATAAACCTGTGCCTCAAGTAGTGTATTCTCCCGGCAGTGTTTTATTGTACGATAAACAACTCCCACTCATCACTATTCCTTAAAACAAAGAATCACAATGATGCAGTGGTTACAAATATAAATGGGTGAGTGAGTGAGTATTGTTTTACGCATGTTTAAGCAGTATCCCAGCATTATCACGGCGGGGGACACCAGGAATGGGATCTTTACCTGTGTGGGGAATTGAACCTGGGCCTTTGGCGTGACGAGCAAACGCTTTAACCACAAGGCTATCCCACCGCCCAAATGAATATGGCCATGAGCAATATCGATCATAGGCTTGCCCTATATTCCTAATACACAGTACAATTTCTGAACAAGTGATAATGGGATACCATAGTTACTTGATCAAAACTTTTCACAATGTGAACTTGAACTGAAAATTCAACATAGAGGTGAAAAAAACTTAGAAATCATATAAGTTTGTACACATACATTGCAAATCCCAACACCTGGACCATTTCCCTAAGGGAAACAGAATAACCTGCTTACAAACACAATGAAAATTTGCAGAAAGTAGATCAATTCATTAACGATATGTTCCTCAAGAAGACATCACAGCATTAAATCCATACATTTCTAAAATATACAACAGCAATACACCACAATAGGTCCGGTTCATTTGGTAAACTATTATGAACACCCAACTAACCTTTTCTCTCCTGGCTTCATCAAACTCTAGGTCGAGTTTCTTGTTTTCTGTCTCCAGCAAACGGTTCCTCTCCTCCAACTCCGACACCCTCCGCTCTGTCTCCTCCGTCTTCAGCTGCAACAACAAACAGGCATCACCACCCAGCTAACTCGTTCTTGCATACCGTGAAGATGAAGGGGAGGTAATTGTATTAGCGGAAGGGTTGATGAAGGGTAGAATGAGATAGGAAAACAAAGTAGTGAGATGGACAGATGGACTATGGAATATTATGCTTTGAAACACAAGCTGTGAGTGGCCAACAAAGATATTGTCATAATTCGGATCGGAACAACATCCATTGGTTGCTTTCCTCATTGATGTAAATTGCAGATGTCTGAAATATTTTATGTATCCATGGATTGGTTGGTTGGTTTGTTGTTTAACGCCGCAATCAGCAATATTCCAGCTATATGACGGCAGTCTGTAAAAAAATCGACATCATCAGCATCGATCCACGCAATAGGGATACGATGACATCCATCAACCAAGTCAGCGAGCCTGACCACCTGATCCCGTCGCCTCTTACGACAAGCATAGTCGCCTTTTACGGCAGCATGGGTTGCTGAAAACCTGTTCTACACCGGATCTTCACGGGTCTGTATCCATGGAGATTTGATACCATGACCATTGGTCGTGCATTACACAACTGAAAATGCATGACAGGTCACATTTGTGCACAAATAATTCCTTGTTAAAAGGATACTTTTGTGGGAATATCCAGTAATATTGTGCGAATCCTGTTTCACTGATGTTATTGAGCAGAACCTGCTGGCGCCGCCACGGCACTACCCACCCCCTCCATCTGTATGACCTTGAGGTTGGCCTCCTTCACATCATCAATCTTCCCCAGCAGCTCTTGTTCCCGCTTGTACCACTCGTCCTGCTCCTGGACAACACAGAATGGGATCAGCTGAACAAAGTTATTGGAGTGAGTCACTGAATGTTGTTTAATGCCACAGTCATACTTACTACATGCCATATCACACAAGTCTGTATCTAATCCTTGGCTGTGAGATACTGACGATGAACAGAGACCCACCTGATGCAGCCTGTCCTGGAGCTGCTGTGAGATACTGACGATGAACAGAGACCCACCTGATGCAGCCTGTCCTGGAGCTGCTGTGAGATACTGACGATGAACAGAGACCCACCTGATGCAGCCTGTCCTGGAGCTGCTGTGAGATACTGAAGATGAACAGAGACCCACCTGATGCAGCCTGTCCTGGAGCTGCTGTGAGATACTGACGATGAACAGAGACCCACCTGATGCAGCCTGTCCTGGAGCTGCTGTGAGATACAGACGATGAACAGAGACCTACCTGATGCAGCCTGTCCTGGAGCTGCTGTGAGATACTGACGATGAACAGAGACCTACCTGATGCAACCTGTCCTGGAGCTGCTGTGAGACAACTGACGATGAACAGAGACCCACCTGATGCAGCCTGTCCTGGAGCTGCTGTGAGATACTGACGATGAACAGAGACCTACCTGATGCAACCTGTCCTGGAGCTGCTGTGAGATACTGACGATGAACAGAGACCTACCTGATGCAGCCTGTCCTGGAGCTGCTGTGAGATACTGACGATGAACAGAGACCTACCTGATGCAGCCTGTCCTGGAGCTTCTGATGGATACTGCAGTGAACAGAGACCCACCTGATGCAGCTTGTCCTGGAGCTGCTGTGAGAAACAGAAGATGAACAGAGACCCACCTGATGCAACCTGTCCTGGAGCTGCTGTGAGATACTGACGATGAACAGAGACCTACCTGATGCAGCCTGTCCTGGAGCTTCTGATGGATACTGACGATGAACAGAGACCCACCTGATGCAGCTTGTCCTGGAGCTGCTGTGAGAAACAGAAGATGAACAGAGACCTACCTGATGCAACCTTTCCTGGAGCTGCTGTGAGATACTGACGATGAATAGAGGCCTACCTGATGCAGCCTGTCCTGGAGCTGCTGTGAGATACTGACGATGAACAGAGACCTACCTGATGCAGCCTGTCCTGGAGCTGCTGTGAGATACTGACGATGAATAGAGACCTACCTGATGCAACCTGTCCTGGAGCTGCTGAGCCCGGTTCTCGGCCAGTTCCCGAGCCTCCTTCAGCTGTTCCCACTCCTGCATCACCAGACTGGCTCTCTCCCTCTCTCCCTCCAGCACCTCCTCTGCCCGTACCTTCTCTCTGCTCTTTGTCTCCAGCTAACAGATGAAAGAGAAAGACAATGGGTCCATGTCACAAAAGTCCTACATTGCAATCAAGATAGCATGCTGAAACAGATAACTACAAGACAGACCTAGGTATCGACAGGAGCATCAACATTTGCAGATCCACAAAGAACAAGTCAATTTGGTGTCTGAGACTAATAAACTTTAAATATATCACTTCTTATTCTTGTTACCTCTCGTTTAAGATTCTCTACTGCAATGGCTGAGTGTTGCTTTTCTCTCTTCAGTTCGGACACAGTTTCGGCCATCTCCCTCTCAAAGTTATTGATCATCTGGAACATAAACAATAAAACATGAAATGAATATCAGCTTAATTACTTGTGTTGTTCAAAAGATTAACTAGAACATTGATGGATTTTATGTTAAGAACAAAACACACTTACTATATAAGTACCCATCAACCATCAGTGAGTGTACAGAGGAGTTACTTCCCCTTCTCTTCCAGCTTGGCATGAATCATTTTGATTGTTAGACACTTTCCGAGACAATTAATTCCAGCTTACTTAATATAACTTAGTGAATGCTTTGTCATTGCTCCCTGTAACTGCAACCATTCTTGTTATATTTGAAAGTAAACGTACCATGTACATGTGGCTACTGTAATCATGCTATAGTAAATAACATTAGAGTGAGTGAGTATGGTTTTACGCCGCTTTTAGCACTATTCCAGCAATATCACGGCGAGGGACACCAGAAATGGGCTTCAAACATTGTACCCATGTCGGGGATCGAACCCGGGTCTTCGGCGTGACGAGCGAACGCTTTAACCACTGGGCTACCCGACCGCCACACTCTACATTAGAAAGTGAGTGAAGTTTTCCAGCACTTATTGAGCCATATGTGCCCACACCTTGAATCAGCTTCACCCATGTGGGGGCACAGCCCTTGGCCACAACAAACCAACCACCAGGACGGGACTTACAGAATTAGACATACAATTCAAGGTCTTGTCATTGTCCATTTTCAAAGCCATTTCAAGGCTAAAACTGATATTTTCAACACAGAAAAATTCCAGAAATGTTCAAGTCTGTGCGAACCATGACTTGAGTAGCCCATCTGAAAACTGTGAGCTGCACCCACTGTTGAGTGATGCTGGAGCATGTGGAGTGAACTGACACAAGGAATGGTCTTACCGCTTGCTGGTTATTCAGACTTTGTTCTATTTGTGTTTTTTCTTTCATCAGCAGCTTCATGTAGTCATCCTTCTCCCTTTCTCTTTTCTTCCATCCCTCCACCACCTTGGCCAGTTGCTGAAATTTCAGACTTGAAAGTAAGTAAATGTGTGGCAGCTGTATATTAAATGCTTTAATAAACATATCCCTCGGGCATGGGTGAGTGAGTTGGGTTTGAACAGTATCCCCGGCATATCATGGCATGTCAGATTAAGCCCAAAGTGATGCAGATCTCAGACGTTCACCACTTTGGTGAAATCCAGGACCATGGGTATGGTCGTGATAAACCCAGAAACATAATCAGGGTGAACCGTGTTTCAAACACACAACCAGAGGTTCCTGACGTGCCCAAGGGATGCAACTCTGCACAGCGAATTGCGGTACCTTAGACGGCTGGGCCAGCTGGGTCGGCGGAGCACATAAGGCATAAGTAACATTTGAATGTGCATAGTTTGAAAGTACATTACATGACAGAAAATTGAAGGAGTCTATAATAGTATATACTACTCTAACTAACAAGAGCAATATGAAAGAATTGGGTGATCCTTAACAATTCTTTAGTAATATACCAGCAATGTCATGAACAATCCTGATGCCTTCAAACAACCTTGTGTGAGTGAGGGAAACCAAAGGTTGATAACATGAGTAACACAGCCAGGTCAAACCAGAGTCATGTCATACGACAAGCATGGGATGCTGCATCTTCCCGAGGCAAGAGGTGTTAACTGACTTTATAAGTCCAGTTTCCACCCTTGCCGAACTAGGCTGGAATTACTGGGCTCGATCGTAGCGCCACCAGTGGCTATTACCAGTTATGTCTCTTCTACGCCTCTCCTATGGACCATTCAGATTTCACCTCTCGTATCACTTGCGTTTGCTTCACACAAAATGGTGGCGCCCGGTCAGGACGATCTGATCGATAATCAAGATCTTTATTGTTATAAAACTAGTCTTACATCCCAAAATGCATCAAATCACGTGATCACCTTGATTAAAAACATGAAAAGATTTTGAAAATATCTGCTGACGAGTTGGCAGTGCACATGCTTTGCAAATCCTGCAATCGACCGAAATCTGCACGACAGTTTACAAACCGGATTTCGATTTTGGTGCGAGATTTTGATTGGACTATGCATAGACTCGTTAGTCCAGCCAAAATGTAACTCCATAATACCAGCCTAGTTCAGGGTGGAAACTGGACTTTTATAGTCACTTAACTGTCTTGCCTCGGGAAGATGCGGATGCTGAAAACAGGATGGCCTAAAATGCCCATTGGGGAGTCTTGAAGAGATGGCAAGTTCATGATAAAAGCAATATATAGAACAGGATAGAGAAATTCAATTCAATCAGTAATTAAAATTATCAATGACATAAAATTATCCTGATGCATTCTTGCATTACCTTGTCCAACTGTTCTATCATGATGTCTTTCTTCTTGTCTGTTGACACGGCAACTGCCAACTGCTGCTGGGTCTCCAGTAACTGTCAATAAACAGAACACTGTCAGTGTCACCAATACTTGTCACATCGTACAGAACACTGTCAGTGTCACCAATACTTGACACATCGTACAGAACACTGTCAGTGTCACCAATACTTGACACATCGTACAGAACACTGTCAGTGTCACCAATACTTGTCACATCGTACAGAACACTGTCAGTGTCACCAATACTTGACACAATGTACAGAACACTGTCATTGTCACCAATACTTGACACATTGTACAGAACACTGTCAGTGTCACCAATACTTGACACATCGTACAGAACACTGTCAGTGTCACCAATACTTGACACATCGTACAGAACACTGTCAGTGTCACCAATACTTGACACATCGTACAGAACACTGTCAGTGTCACCAATACTTGACACATCGTACAGAACACTGTCAGTGTCACCAATACTTGACACATCGTACAGAACACTGTCAGTGTCACCAATACTTGACACATCGTACAGAACACTGTCAGTGTCACCAATACTTGACACATTGTACAGAACACTGTCAGTGTCACCAATACTTGACACATCGTACAGAACACTGTCAGTGTCACCAATACTTGTCACATCGTACAGAACACTGTCAGTGTCACCAATACTTGACACATCGTACAGAACACTGTCAGTGTCACCAATACTTGACACATTGTACAGAACACTGTCAGTGTCACCAATACTTGACACATTGTACAGAACACTGTCATTGTCACCAATACTTGACACATCGTACAGAACACTGTCAGTGTCACCAATACTTGACACATTGTACAGAACACTGTCAGTCTCGCCAATACTTGACACATTGTACAGAACACTGTCAGCGTCACCAATACTTGACACAATGTACAGAACACTGTCAGTGTCACCAATACTTGACACATCGTACAGAACACTGTCAGTCTCGCCAATACTTGACACATTGTACAGAACACTGTCAGCGTCACCAATACTTGACACAATGTACAGAACACTGTCAGTGTCACCAATACTTGACACATTGTACAGAACACTGTCAGTGTCACCAATACTTGACACATTGTACAGAACACTGTCAGTGTCACCAATACTTGACACATCGTACAGAACACTGTCAGTGTCACCAATACTTGACACATCGTACAGAACACTGTCAGTGTCACCAATACTTGTCACATCGTACAGAACACTGTCAGTGTCACCAATACTTGACACATCGTACAGAACACTGTCAGTGTCACCAATACTTGACACATCGTACAGAACACTGTCAGTGTCACCAATACTTGACACATTGTACAGAACACTGTCAGTGTCACCAATACTTGACACATTGTACAGAACACTGTCAGTGTCACCAATACTTGACACATTGTACAGAACACTGTCAGTGTCACCAATACTTGACACATTGTACAGAACACTGTCAGTGTCACCAATACTTGACACATCGTACAGAACACTGTCAGTGTCACCAATACTTGACACATTGTACAGAACACTGTCAGTGTCACCAATACTTGACACAATGTACAGATCATTGTCACCAATACTTGACACATTGTACAGAACACTGTCAGTGTCACCAATACTTGACACATTGTACATAACACTGTCAGTCTCGCCAATACTTGACACAATGTCTTTGGTTACCACAGTCTTTCTTGGTCTAAAAATAGCTTAGTTACCTCACTAACTTTGAAAGATAGCAATAATATACATAATTTTTAATACAATTTGTCACAAGTTTGAAATACCTTTGCATTCAGCTGTTGAATATGCTGTTCACAGTGCTGAAATGACATAAAATATTCACAAAATGTTTACAATTTTATCATTAAAATGATAATATTTTATGAGTTGGAGTCATTGATGCCGTTATGTACATGATTACTGACATACGGTTATATATGTAATTATTCTTACACAATTGTATGCTGCTTTCTTGGTGCATCTATAAGCACCAGCCTCTTCCATCAACATCCTACCCACCTTCCTCCGGTGTCTCTCCTTCTCCACCACCCACACATCCCACCCACCTTCCTCCGGTATCTCTCCTTCTCCACCACCCACACATCCCACCCACCTTCCTCCGGTGTCTCTCCTTCTCCATCACCTACACATCCCACCCACCTTCCTCCGGTGTCTCTCCATCTCCATCACACACACATCCCACCCACCTTCCTCCGGTGTCTCTCCTTCTCCATCACACACACATCCCACACACCTTCCTCCGGTACCTCTCCTTCTCCATCACCTACACATCCCACACACCTTCCTCCGGTACCTCTCCTTCTCCATCACACACACATCCCACACACCTTCCTCCGGTACCTCTCCTTCTCCATCACACACACATCCCACACACCTTCCTCCGGTACCTCTCCTTCTCCATCACACACACATCCCACACACCTTCCTCCGGTACCTCTCCTTCTCCATCACACACACATCCCACACACCTTCCTCCGGTACCTCTCCTTCTCCATCACACACACATCCCACACACCTTCCTCCGGTACCTCTCCTTCTCCATCACACACACATCCCACACACCTTCCTCCGGTACCTCTCCTTCTCCATCACACACACATCCCACACACCTTCCTCCGGTACCTCTCCTTCTCCATCACACACACATCCCACACACCTTCCTCCGGTACCTCTCCTTCTCCATCACACACACATCCCACACACCTTCCTCCGGTACCTCTCCTTCTCCATCACCTACACATCCCACACACCTTCCTCCGGTACCTCTCCTTCTCCATCACACACACATCCCACACACCTTCCTCCGGTACCTCTCCTTCTCCATCACACACACATCCCACACACCTTCCTCCGGTACCTCTCCTTCTCCATCACACACACATCCCACACACCTTCCTCCGGTACCTCTCCTTCTCCATCACCTACACATCCCACCCACCTTCCTCCGTTGTCTCTCCTTCTCCTTCTCCACCACCCACACATCCCACCCACCTTCCTCCGGTATCTCTCCTTCTCCATCACCTACACATCCCACCCACCTTCCTCCGGTACCTCTCCTTCTCCTTCTCCACCACCCACCCACCTTCCTCCGGTATCTCTCCTTCTCCATCACACACACATCCCACCCACCTTCCTCCGGTACCTCTCCTTCTCCATCACCTACACATCCCACCCACCTTCCTCCGTTGTCTCTCCTTCTCCTTCTCCATCACCCACACATCCCACCCACCTTCCTCCGGTATCTCTCCTTCTCCACCACCCACACATCCCACCCACCTTCCTCCGGTATCTCTCCTTCTCCATCACACACACATCCCACCCACCTTCCTCCGGTACCTCTCCTTCTCCATCACCCACACATCCCACCCACCTTCCTCCGGTACCGCTCCTTCTCCATCACCCACACATCCAACCAACCTTCCTCCGGTATCTCTCCTTCTCCATCACCTCCCGCAGGTACAGGTTCTCGTTGTGCACCGACCCCTCCTGACGCCCCACACTGGTGCTGGACAAGTCGGAGAAAATCTTTGAAGAAAAGTTGGGGAAGCTCTCAAACAGTTCTGACACCTCCTCTTGTACTCTTGGCCTGAAACAACATCCACATGATAATGTAACCAGCCATGACCTAGATACAAAACATTTACCACTAGCCTAAGTAACCACCCATACTTGTATCAAAACTGACAAATGCAGCCTATTACATGTACGTCATACTTCAACTTTCCTCCTGAGAACATAGATACTGTGTAGTTACCCCATGAGAGAGCTTGTGTCAAACTTGAGCTGTCTGTTGAGGGGTTGGTCCATCAGCAACTCACTGGCTGTGTCACTGTGGTCAAACTTGCCCGACTCGGCTGAAACATACAACCTTGATGCAGAACACGGGACAATCAAGTCATAGTGTGGCAAGTAGTGATTACGGATCATAACATCAACTCTGTTCTGTGTACATGTAACAGTGTTCCGTGTATATGTAACAGTGTTCTTTGTATATGTAACAGTGTTCTGTGTACATGTAACAGTGTTCTGAGTATATGTCACAGTGTTCTGTGTATATGTAACAGTGTTCTGTATATATGTGTAACAGTGTTCTGTGTACATGTTACAGTGTTCTGTGTAAATGTAACAGTGTTCTGTGTACATGTAACAGTGTTCTGTTTACACGTAACAGTGTTCTGTGTACACGTAACAGTGTTCTGTGAACATGTTACAGTGTTCTGTGTATATGTAACAGTGTTCTGTATATATGTGTAACAGTGTTCTGTGTACATGTAACAGTGTTCTGTGTATATGTAACAGTGTTCTGTATATATGTGTAACAGTGTTCTGTGTACATGTAACAGTGTTCTGTGTACATGTAACAGTGTTCTGTGTACATGTAACAGTGTTCTGTGTACATGTAACAGTGAGCACTAGTAATAGGTACGGGCCTGACTTTAATATCTATTTGCCAAATATTGCATAATTCTTTCATCTTTACTTTGTTATGAACCTGAACAAAAATAACCCACATTTTTCCAAACTATGATGACATCCGCCATTTTGTTGGACGTTGGCATGGATGGTAACAACACATGCATAATAGACAATAGTTGCGGGGTTTTTTATTACAGGATTCAGTTGTGGCAATACAGCCGTCAGCAAAACATGCATCACAATACAATCCTAAATAAAATAAATAACATCTACAATCTTGAGGCATTAGGAAGGACATTAACATTCCATATTGATGACGTAATAGGTAGTCTTGTTTATCCATACTTCCCATCTCGCAATATGATTGAATGAAGAAGTACCATTTGAACAGTAGAACTGTATATAATTTGGGCCCCAATACATATTGCAATATTGCTCTCTGTATTGCGATATATTGCCATATGCCTTATGTGCCAATACGCCAACCCTAGCAGTGAGTGTGGTAGGTACCTTTGATGACATCATTGGACAGCCTCAGCATGCTCTGGAGATGGCTGCGAACATCTTCCATGCCTTGAACATCCCGTGCCACATCTCCGTCCCTCTTTCTCTCCTGAAACAATCACTTATATCTGTAAGTGGAACCAGAGGAGTAAGTGGAACCACAGGAGTAAGTGGCACCACAGGAGTAAGTGGAAATACAGGAGTAAGTGGAAATACAGGAGTAAGTGGAAATAAGGAGTAAGTGAGCTCAGCTTCAAACAGCTTTAATCCTGGAGCTTCAGCTTGATGTTGGAGGAAAGCCCAGTCATGTAGTGTGTGTTTGCTGTTTAATACCACATTTAGCAATATTCCAGCTCCCGGGGTAATTGAGTCTGGACCAGACAATCAAGTGATAGATCTTATGGGCAATGATCCACACTACACACAATCACATAAATCCAAACATACTTAAACCTCAATCTGCTAATATTGTTGCAAAGTTGCTGCTAGTTCTTGGTACATTTTAAACTTTAAAGCAGGATTTTAATGAAAAGTCCAGATAACATGGTTGTACTAGTAGAAAGTAATGCAATACCTACCTGTTGTGGAGAGAAGTTGTATCCATGAGACACTGGTGACCTCATCTGACCAACTTGTGTGTTCACAGACTCGTGATCATACATTCGGGGACTGACATTTGAATTGTGATAGCTCTGTCGCATGTAAGAAGCAGGAAAACTCTGGGACTCAACCCCAGAATACACCCCACTCCTGTCTTGATCATGCCTCATCTTTGAGCCAGGACTACTTGAAGCATCGCTCTGATTACCTATGCTAGCTTGAATCTCACCACCAACCCCACCATAGCGACCCCCACTCACAACAGAACCAGACATGTGACCCTGATCAGGATGAGAAGTGACCTTTACACTTTGATCAAGCACTTTACTCATTTGACCTTGTTGACCTTGCCTCTGATTGGCCACCAAATGTCTTTGGTCAAGGTCAGCTGAACCTTGCACCATAGGCCGTGTTTGCCTAGCGGGCTGATTATTGATTGGTCGACGAACTAAATTCTGAGTTTGATTCTTGCCCCCAACTGGCTTTTGATCCATTCTATTAAGCCTGGGACAGGCTCCATTATTCTGGGTTTTGGCAGACTCAGTCTTGTTAACTTTACTAGCATATTTGACTCTCTGAATATTCAGTGCTATGTGGTTCACAGGTGCTTTAGCAGGCATAGTGTCCGCCGTACAGACATTCGGTGTCACCCATTCCGACAAAGAACCTTGCACTTGCAATGCAGAATCTTTTGACTTTTGCTGCAAGTTGTCTCCAAATTCTCCAAAATTGGTTTGATTAATCCTCTCTGGAAGACTATGAGACATGGTCTGAATGTGATCATCATTCCGACCTGAGTATGTGGTTAAAGGGGGTTCAGATTGAGGGGAAGAATGAGCTAACACATTGTTTGACGGCAAACTTGATCCCTCAAAAACATTATTACGAGGTTCTCTTAAAGTCGAAAGTGTTGCATGATGTGGAGACTGCAATGGACTGAACACACTTTGTGAAGATCTTTGCGTAAAATTAGAGTCTTTTTGATACTGGCCTTGACCTCCATAATGATAAATTTGTTCCTCTTTCTCATCAAGGCTGTCGTATAAATGGGGCGAAATGTCCTGAGACTCCACAGACAGTTTACGTAGGTGGGAGGTCCCGGGCGACACGGTTACCGATGACAAGTGAACTGATGATGCAGGGACCTGGTCCGGAGGCAGCGTGACAACAACCCGCTGGTCCAATGGGGAGGAGTCATGGCCTTCTATGATCCTCTGATTGCCGGACCCAAGAGAACCAAAGTTCATCAAATCCGAACCATTTGGTTCTACATTTCTTTCCACAGAATCATGTAGCCCTGGTTGATCATCGTAACCAATATCAGTTCCAGTTTCATCAGCATCTGTGAAATTAAGAGCCTTAGCTGGTGTAAACAGCTCCTCATTATCGTCTGGGACATATTCCAACATCCTCTTCCGCTCACTGCTAAGAACTGGACTTCCATCTCTTCGTATCACAGTTCGTAATGCTTCAGAGGAGGTAAAGTTTGTTCCCAGGTCAGGAATATTTTCCGAATATTCATAGTATGGACTCTGTCGTCTTTGACTTGCTTGGAAATCCTGGTCATAGGAGTCAATATCTGGTTGAGACATTGGTGAGTTACCTCCCCTTTCTTGAGCAATGGGGACAAAGTGGTCAGTTTCTTCTTCCATCGAGATGTTGATCCATAAAAGTCACTAAATCTTGTTCTTTACAAACCATGCACTACTGACCTACTAGTGTGACCATCATTGTTGTTCTACACCCTGCAAATGGAAATAAAATATTTTCATTGTGATATTATCCATATTATCTTTTTCATATGTAGGCATAATAGTAGTCTCATTGACAAAGTACTGAATCGTCATCCCCGGGTTTCATTCTCCCTGAGCATGCTAAGGTTATTGGTGATGACCATTTCTGGTGCCCAGATAACTCATTGAGATACTGAGTATTTACATGTAATCTTTCTCTTATTTTACTCCCTTAAGGCTATTATATTGGGTATTTAAAATCAGTAGACATTTTCTCAAAATTATTTTCCTTGAAATGCTGTTTTTGGTGACTTCTCGCAGGAGTAGTGCACTTTTTCAGATCCAATTAGCGCTTTAGGGGCTTGAACGTGCTTCCCTGGTTTGCAGGCTTGGCTAAATAGTGCATTAATTTGCAGAAGCTCTCCCACTGGACCAAGAGCACCATCACATGTAATTAGTGCTCGTTTAACGGGTCATTTGCACCTCTTTAACACGCATGTACAGTTAAGTAAACAATGAATTGTGCATGTTCTCACACACTCTCCATTCATCTTTTTGAGAAAGCCACGCCTGCCATTGTCCATCAAAATGAGCAAAAAAACTTGCTAAAACAGACTTTGTCTTTATGTCAGAATTTATGGTCAACCCTAGCCCTAACCAGGCCTACCCTAACGGCATGTCAGTTCCCTAAGATTGAAAAATGGTGTAGGATTGGAAAGGCGTGTCAGCTCCCGAAGATCGACAAAGGGGGTTGGATTGGAAAGGCATGTCAGCTCCCTAAGATTGTAAAGGCGTGGATTGACAAGGCTGGTCAGTTCCCTTAGATCGAAAAGGGTTGTTGGATCACCAAGCCATGTCAACTCTCTAAGACAAGTGTGAGTGCATTCAAGCATAAGCCACGGTAACTATAGTGCGGCCATTGAGCTGTTGGTAGAGGGTGAGGCTGCACCCGTTAAACTGCATTATTGCCAACTTCTATTTGGGATCTGACCATGTGCTGTCCAAAGTGTACCACATGTCCCATGTACAATGTAATAAAATAAATAAAATAAACCTACCTGAAATTATCTGCAACTATTCCCTAAAAGCCTTCAAGGCCAAGGGATACATATGGAATAATTGATCTCCCATTATTCATGTCTCTCAACTATGCGAACAAACACATACTTATCCCTCTAACACTCGAACTTTCTCAAATCAATATTTCTAAATGCAAAAACAAGCACAAACATGAACTCTAAAAATATCCGGAGCCTATTACATATCTAAGTAAATTCAGTTAATGACATTTACTTTGTATCTGGTTACAGCGTGCCACATGAGATTGTGTTGAAAGGTTCGTTTATGTTCAAATTAGGAAAAAGCAATACCTTGCAACAGTCGCAAAGAAAGTGTTTTGACACTTCGCTGTGTTTTCAAACTCGACGGCATGAAATTCGGACATGCGCAAGAATTGTAAACACGGAAGTAGTTTTACTTCCGTTTAAGATAAATACGCATAAAAAGTGCGTCAAATTAATATCAGATTCATACAACCTGTAATCAATAAATCTTAAACTCAGTTTATAGCCGTGAAATTACCGTGTTATTTATGGTTCATACATAACCTGTGTTTTGTTTTTTTCTGAGGCATATTAGGTACTTGTCCGTCCTGCGCATGCATATCCGCCGGGGAGTTGTTAGGCACTTCCTGTACCTCCCAATCGATTGATTCAGAGTCAGGAAAATGACAGTGTTTAATTTCTATATATTTGACCGAAATGGGACGTGTTTGTATTATGCAGAATGGAACAGAAAGAAGCAGTCGGGCATTAGCAAGGAGGAGGTTGTGACATTAGCTAAATAGTTATATTTTTACTTTGTAGAGATCTTATTCATGCCAATATTTGCTTCAAAATCTAAAATTTGACATTATATTTATAATCATTGGAACGTGGAAGGGGTTTCATTGGGACAACAACGTTCTCAGCGTGTCCAATTGTTTGAGGGTTTCGTCAGAAAAACATTTCTATTCTATAATAATTATTGTGTTAATGAGCTGTTTATCAAGCTTTTACTTGAGATAAGAAACGTTTTGGGCGATGCTGTAGGGGGGTGCAGACTAAAACGTCACCGATTTCCCTGGCGAAAACGGCTACTATGTGTCGGGCGAAAACGGCACCTCTATTTTTTAATAAGGATAAGGACGATTTGTGTAGTAATATATATGGTTTGGCTATGGTTTATTTACATGGTCACAGTTATCACAGCATGTTGTTGTTTTCTGACATTCTTCTCTCATGCAACACATCGAAAGGCCATTATGAATAATTGTGATCTGACAGCATCATGTTTGGCCTCTTAAATACAGTTTCAGTTTAAATTGAGTAAAGGTACTTAAAACTTGAAAGCGTAAAGTGTTTTCACATTAAGTTAACTGCGCCTCCCAATCAGTCGGCGAGTAAATTGGAGTAGGGGTCTAATTTCTTACTTGTTTTATTTCACAATTTCACAATTATTTGTGTTTGTAAGAGACGACGTGAGTTTCATTTCTATTATTTTTCTTCAAAGCATGTCATGTTTTCACAATTAGTGGTGTTGCGTATAAGCTAAGTTGGATTATAGTTGGAGTAGAGGCTAATTTCTAATGTAAACTTGTTTTAGCATCTCACAATCATTGGTGTTTGCAAGTTACCATATAAGTTTGATAGCACTTATTTGACCAAGGTAAAAAAAAAATAAGGTGCCGTTTTCGCCAGGCAATAGTAGCCGTTTTTCGCTTGAGTCAAGGTGCCGTTTTCGCCAATCGGTGCCGTTTTCGCACGGTGACATTTTGCTGAGGTGCCGTTTTCGCTATAACCCCTGTAGGGCGGATACAGGTTTGGGATTATCAACTCATCTCATGTGTTTCTTTCTTTGCAGGAATTCAAACTGATGTATGGCATGATTTTCTCAATAAAATCATTTGTCAACAGGATATCACCAACAGACATGTATCCTTTACATTGAGACATCACCATCAGTGATCTTAGTGATTCTGACAATTTTCTGATTGCTATATAGGTAGGCCTACAGGAAAATATTGAACTGGTCCAGATATTGTGGAAATATATGGTCACTTGAGCAAAATGTTAGAGGGCCATGTATGTAATTTTCCATATAGTTTACTCCTGTGAGAGAAACTGGGGAGTATATTTTGCCAAATATACATGATATATGAATATTACTAATAATATCCCTATTTACCCTCTGAAGGGCCATATGGGTTATCATATTTTGTGGCTTATATCTTAGGCCCTAAAAAGGAGTATATTTTGCCATGTATGTGATATATAGAGGATTCATCACGAGTGTTTTTAAATATGGGAAATATCAACCGAGTCTTAGTTAATCGATATTTGCCATATTAAAAAACACGAGTGATGAATTCTATTTATCATTTTCACATTTTTGCTGCCCAATTAAGGAATAATTGCATTAAACATTAACATCAGCAACTTGTCGAAATCTTACGTATAGATCGTGCGTAGTGATACATGTTTTCCATAGCCGTGTAAACCAAAATAAACAACCTCTTAACTCCTTTATGACATATTCCTTCGCTGAGAAAAAAAGTTCCTCGCATTATTTTAAACAAAATACTTGAACAGACTTTTGCAGAATAATTGAAATAATGTCTCCAACATCAAAGGTATCCATGTTGTTTGTAAACACCTAATCACATGCACCGGCAAAAAAAGTCCCACTTCCGGTTATCTAATTTGCATATCTAATTTGCATACTTATGTCATTGGGGTATGACATACATGTTTTTATGTCATAAGCTTATGTCATGGATAAATGCTTTAGTTAAATGATAAAATAATAATAATAATAATATTACTGTCTGAAGTTATCACAGGGTCATATCAGTCATAATTCGTGGATTAAATCTTAGGCCCCAAAACAGATCAACCTTGCCTTTTCGTAACGTTAAAAAATTGATCCCAGTATGAAGTGAATTTCATAATTTTGGATAAGATAGGCATGCCAAGCACTCTTACACAGACAAAATCTCCTTGAAAAGTGGAAATAACTGTATAGCCGATCATACCTTAACTGTTTCCAGGAAGGACGGTTTCATGAACTTCAAGACAACCAAATACAAGCTACATTTCTTTGAGACGCAAAGTGGTCTCAAGTTTATTATGAACACAGATCTCAATGTTGGCAGCGTCAAAGAGACATTGCAGTTGATCTACAGCTCAGTAAGTATAGGTAGAATAGAACTAGCATATGACCAAAGTGGTATACGTCGGAGACATGCATCACTTCAGGCTTTCCTCACACATTAACTGACACACTGATATAACCGGAATACTGTTAAAAGTGCAATCAGAACCAACTCATTCTACTAAGCCATAACATTACTTATGCTATATGACTTGAACTGGAAAATTTGTAATTCCAATTTGGGAAATTGTTTTTATGTTTCCTGCATATTTGGGTCTGAATGTCTGTTTCTGAGCAGGTCTAGATAAATCCCTGTTATGACAGGCTGATTGTGTCGTTGGGATCCATGGTGGAGATCCTTGATCAGCTTTCAGTGACTTTGTAAGGAAGCAATGGTTATAGGACATTTTGGAGGTGAGGTGAGATGAAGTGGGGTCTGACGTTCTAGAAATATTGCACTTTTATTGTGATGTGTGTGTGTGGCTGCTTGTACTAGCCCGGACTTATGCTGATTTTAGAGTGCATGTCCACTGAGATACCATGGCACAGTTTAACATGAATACCACACTTGTTTTATCCTTGACACAGGGCAGTGTCATAGAACTATAAACAAACATATACAGTGCCTAGCCAGTGTAAGAGGAACTAAATTTGAGTCACAAACATATTTGTAATCCCTTGAAAAAGTCTTCAATCCGCTCAAAATTGGTCTTGTGGTAGAGCGTCTGCCCAGAGTGCAGAATGTCGTGTGTGTGATTACCAACCGTGTCATACCAAAAGCATTAAAAGATGGCAATTGTTATCATGACATTATGGTTATGACCCTGTCTGGCGCTCAGCATTGATGGGCTAAGATAAGGACTAGTTGGCTCGGAGTCAGTATACCATGTATACTGTGTCTAAGTTGGGTAGCCATGTTAAACTGTTGCATGGTATTTCACTGGGCCAGCACTATAAAACAAGCATTAGACCGGACTAGTACAAGCAGCAAAACACACACATCCATGCGCATTGTTATATATGTGTAATAATCTTTATCACAACTTTAAACCCCATTTCACCTCACATCCCAATTGACCTGCTGTCTAATAGATTGTGACAGGCATCAGCTCTGGACAGGAAGGAGCTATGCAGTGGTAGGGCTAAGTCAGAGGCATTCAAATACTTGATTTTCACATGCTTTCTCTGATTTTCAAAGTTGTGGTCGGGTAGCCTACTGGTCAAAGCGTTCTCTGGTCATGCTGAAGACCCGGGTTCGATTCCCGACATGGGCACAATGTGTGAAGCCTATTTCTGGTGTCCCCCGCCGTGATATTGCTGGAACATTGCTAAAAGGGGCGTAAAACCATACTCACTCACTCACTCATAGGATATAATGGCTATAGGACATTTTGGTTGACAACCAGTCATTGTCCCAGAAAATGTTATCTGATATCAGATTTGAAACCCTGCAGTCGCTGGTCAACCAGTCTATTGACAGGTCACCATGACATATGTCATAGCTGTGCAGAATACTCCAGTAACAACATATTCACTGGCTCATTTTTCCAGTGTTAGAGACCAGCACAAGCAAGATACATTGGCTACAGTCTCAATAGTGCAGGTACATGTGAGGTTATAATTTTGAAATTTGACTTTGTTGTTTCAGATCTACGTGGAGTACGTTGTGAAGAACCCCCTGTGTTATCTGGACCAACCCATCACGAGTGAACTGTTTAAGGCTAAACTAGATGACTTTGTGCGAGGGTTGCCAATCTTTCCTACCAGTGTGTCCTAACTGTTATTGGGAGGTTCAAAGGCTGATTTTGTTGGATTCAAGCCTTTGGGCAATGGACAAAGGTTGTTGTATATTGTTGAAATCAAATATGAAAAGGGAAGAAGAGGATTGAACAAGATTTGACACTCTTTTTTTTATTAAGTTTGTTTTGCGGTAATGAGAATACAATTTTTTAAATGTTGATGTAAATTGTAATGTATATTCAGATGAATATGCATCTTCCCGAGGCAAGGGAGTTAACTTCCTTTAAAAGTCCAGTTTCCACCCTTGCCGAGCTAGGCTGGAATTTCTGTGCTCGGTGGTAGCGCCACCAGTGGCGATTATGATTTATGTTCCTTCTATGTCCCTCCTATTGATCAATCAGATTCCACTTCTCATACACTTGCATTTACTTCAAACAAAATGACAGCTCCCAGTCAGATTTGGAAAATGTCTGTTAAAGCCGAGATGGCGGCACACATGCTTTGAAAGTCCTGCAATCGACCAAAATTTGTACGGCAGTTTGATTAGACTATGCATAGACTCGTCAGTCCGGCAAGAATACAACTCCTTAATTTCAGCCTTGTTCCGCAAGGGTGGAAACTGGACTTTAATTGTCAGTTATCTCCCTTGCCACGGGAAGACGATGAACATGAGGAAGACATGACACATTATAGGCAACTTATATCTCTGACAAGGCATTAACTCGAAGCTTGCCTCTGTCTGGGTTCGAATCCCTGACCGTTCATGATATACGATTATGGATTATGGCTGTGAGGTGTCATTGGTACATGCAAGTACATGTATATGTCTTGTGACAACAGGGGCGGTCGGGTATCCTAGTGGTTAAAGCGTTCGCTCGTCACGCCGAAGACCCGGGTTCGATTCCCGACATGGGTACAATGTATGAAGCCCATTTCTGGTGTCCCCCGCCGTAATATTGCTGGAATATTGCTAAAAGCGGCGTAAAACCATACTCACTCACTCACTTGTGACAACATGAAGAAAGATTCACAGATGCTTAGTGAATGTTATAGCACAACAGTTGTATTTATTTCATTCAGTGTATTTTTGTGTTTGATGTAAATACACAAGATACAAGTGGAAATAAAAATTGTACCACAAAGACATATTTCTTAAAGTTATTGGTTTCACAGAAATAGAAAACGCCAACGCCAGAGAAGAACCATTCTGCAGTATTCGCCAGTGAGGCAATTAACAGGAAAACAACGTTACCCAGCCATAGGGCACATTAGAATTTTGTTTGTTCTTAAAGTAGTGAATATACACTTTAAAAAAGCGTCCCAAAAGCCTTAAGAAGAAATAGCGACTTGGGTCGCTTTATGTCATTAGAAAAAAATGATTAATTGTGAAATTAATACACACTAAAGGCCCCTTCTCTGAAAAAAATGCTCAAGTCTTGATAAGTATCTCTTAGATAGCTGACTTAGCTCAACGACCAAGTTAAAATAACATGGGTCAAGGGCCGTAACTCCGTAAAGAAATGATTGACGGCTCCAATTTTCGAACTCAGGCTCGACAAGTGTCTCTTAGATAAGCATGCAAACTTTTATTCAAGTAACTTCAGCACTCTCTGAGAAAACTTGTCATTTCACACGGTATGCAAGACGTTACAAAACGGAGCAAGGGCCATAACACTATAAAAATAATTGACAGGGCCAATTTTCGAGCGCATTTGAGATCATGACCAGTAACCTCAGAGCGTAAAATATCATTTCTCTGACTTAAATATATTTTTATATAAATTTGTCAATTTTGAGAAGCGGACGGACAAACTCCTTTCCAATATTCCCCGCCCCCGTCGTGGCGGGGGATAATAATGGTTTGTTTTTGTTTTGTTTTGTTGGGTTTTTTTTTTGGGGGGGGGGGGGGGGAGAGAGAGAGAGAGTGTGTAGGCGTTTGGGTTGACACTCCAGCCCAAACACCACTGAAGTTACAAATGCTCCCTTGCCCATTCTGCCTTTGTGGATTGAATTATGACGTGTGATTTTGAGATTTGTGTCAAATAGTGTTCGGGGCGAGCAAAGGGACTCATGATGAAAAATTAGATGGGATTTTTGGGAGGAGGGGGTTGGCACCCTCAGAAATGTGTGTGTCTATATGGCGTTTCATCAAGTAAAGGAATGAAACAGAAGCAGGTGCTTGGAGACATTATAGATGATGTGGGGCAGAATGTGTGGTACTGAGGCAAGTGGAATTCATGTAAGTAACTCATGGTGACCCGTGAAGATCCGGGGTAGAATAGGTCTTAAACAACCTATGCTTGCCGTAAAAGGTGACTATGCTTGTCGTAAGAGGCGACTAACGGGGTCGGGTGGTCAGGCTCGCTGACTTGGTTGATGCATGTCATCGTATCCCAATTGCGTGGATCGATGCTCATGATGTCAATCACTGGATTGTCTGGTCCAGACTCGATTATTTACAGACCGCCGTCATATAGCTGGAATATTGCGGAGTGCGGCGTTAAACAACAAACAAACAAGCATGGTATTACTGGTGTATCGGTAAATTGAGGTTCATTCTTTCCACGATACGTATCACAATATCATTTCTTCATGCTCGATATATCGGGTGATTTCAATTTGGGATTTTGTCATGTGTTTAATGTTATATAGTTGCCAATGCTTTCGCTGCCCAGGAGCGAGGATTATGACTTTTAATTTTGTTGTAACAGCATCTTGTTTTGTTCCATTTATAAAATTTAGTTCATACCTTCATGTATCAGATTGCTGAAAAAATAGAATTGTACAAAATAAATATATATCACGATCGCAATACGACCTTGTGCATTGCAAAACATTGTGGTACACTTTAAACCTCCAATACACATCCCAATAATTAACTTAGTATTGCTGACCTCGCTATTAGGCTACTGCATGGTGTCAGACTCATCTGATGGTGGAATCCCAACCGGAGGTATAACCAGTCACAACATATTTATTATTTATTATTGATGAAATATATCTACTCTTTCAGAAAAAAATATGGTTGTGGTCGTTTCCATGGCAAAACCTATTCTCACTAAATGCGTAATAATTTCTCAAATGGTTTATATCAACAAAATCAGTTTATGTGGATCGGTGACTATAGTATTTATGGAAACGATCAACTCAACATAGTACGATAAACTTGATGTGGGTTTAAATCAGTTCACAACCCAAGTCTCTTTTCATGAGTGGGATGTGTCTTGGTGGCGCTTTGAACAGTATTTCAGAAAAGCAAGTTGGTTTAAAGTCCGGAAAATTATTTGTTTGTTGTTTAACGCCGCACTCAGAAATAATTCAGCTATATGACGGCGGTCTGTAAATAATCGAGTCTGGACCAGACAATCCAGTGACAATATCATGAGCATCGATCCATGCAATTGGGAAACGACGACATGCATCAACCAAGTCATCGAGTCTGACCACCCGATCCTGTTAAAGTTCCGTCGGAAATGCTAGAACAATGCTTTCTGGCTTCATGTAATAAATAAGAGTCATAGACCTATAAAAAGAGCATATATCAAAATAACGAAAATTGACCAGATCTAGCATGTCCTAACTGGCATTGTGACTACCCTTCAAATGTACCTTAACAGGTAAAATGATGTTAAACGTAGAAAATATTCGTGTGTTGTCATACAATGGCCTATAACCTGAGAAAATTTACCTAACACCTGTGCCGAGGTGTTGACCTCACACCGTCCAGTGCATTCTCACAGGTGCAAATGCCACCGAGTTGGGGGTGGTCTCAAAATTTTACTGTTGTACTTTTTGTTTGTTTGTTGTTTAACGCCGCACTCAGCAATATTCCAAGTATGAGTTGCTGAAGACCTATTCTACTCCGGATCTTCACGGGTCTGGTATTGTACTTAATTGACATGCGTTGATGGGGCAGCAATTCAGGACATGTACTGCATATATTTGCTTGGAAACATGATGGAATAGTTAGGAGCTATAAAACGGGATGAGTAATGGAAGATGGCAGTTTTGGAATCAAGAAGTATTTGTAGTTCTACAGATGGTTTCTTGAGGTAGCATTAATCTCCGCTGATGACGTATATGAATCTGTACTTTTGAATTTTGCATTATGTCTTGCCACGAACCCGTTACACATAGCCAAGATGGACACAACAGGGTTGAGATCACAATGTCTGACTGGCGTACTTAAGACAACGTAACCATGTTGAGCCGCCAGCACATATGTCTTGTACTTTACTGGTTTCTTATTCAGCCGAGCTTTCTCCACGAGTTGAACTTTGTTTCATATGGTCTGAAGTCGACAATGTCATATATTCCTGTATCGTCGCCTTCAGACTCAGATGGTTGGGGCAACGGTATCTGATTCCCGGACGTTATATTACCTGGCGTTTTCCATGACAATGACACTGACGTTGTTTAAAATGGGCTAAAGCTGAAATTCCAACCAATATCTGAAAACATCACCTCCTATAATTTCCTTATGAGAATCAGCAGTTTTCTTTTTTGCCTCGAAAACTATCGAATCCACCAATAAACCCCATATCACGGATTCCGGCGTGCAAAACAATGACACGATTACCTTTAAAAAACCTGATGGTCCATATGTGCTTTTTGTCCATCTGCCGATAGCCACATGTAGTCAGAGGAATGATTCTTCAAGGTAAATTATCTGTACGCCCTGACTGTGATAGTTATGAATGGTCCGGAGATAATGTGACCTCATAGACAGGATGGAATACTTTCCCCTGAAAAGTGCTCGGTCATCGCCACCTGCAGTTTGTCGAAGTCCCATCTCTTTAAGAGCAATAGTGAGTGCAGTCCGGGAAACATTAATTGTATCTTTAAATTTCTCCCAAATTCTACCACAAGGCAGGGTTATCTTCCTCTCATAAAGCTTGTACACTATACGCCTAATCACCCTGTATCAAAGCTGTCTAATATCCTTTAACGTCCCAGTTTTGTTTTTGAGGCCACCACCATTCCCGTTTAGTTTTATTTATCATATACCGTAAACTTATTGTCCATAGCTTGGACAGTTCGGTAATTCACCCTATCTCAATTAATTAATGGTTTCCCTCTATCTCCCTAAAGTGTAAAGAACTTGTATACCTTTCCCAGTACAGACTCAATGGCTATGGCTATGCAAGTGTAATGTAACATGCATCATGGGAGCAATGTTAACAAAACAAGCGCAGCGTCATTTTGTCATTTTAGAATCTCGAATTTTGTCCAAATGATTTCTGTGTGTGGATTAGATGTTTTATGAAGAATACATTATTATCATAACGGAGTCACGTGCGAATATTTCTATAGTCCGTTTCAGACTGCATCATTGGACTTAGAATAAATGTGATCTTCCTGTTTTCGTTCGAATTTGTCTCCTGTAAACTTGTCGATAGGACTCCTTGTGACTGGAATACTTCAAACCACAGTAGCATTTCCTTTTTTAGTCGCCTTTTACGACAAGTATGGGTTCCTGAAGACCTATTCTTCTCCGAATCTTCACGGTCCGAAAAATGAGATCTTTGATGTCTTCCACTTGGGTGAAATGGGTAGATCTATAAATATCATACCTCCGCGCTGAGTCCCTCTAGGACGAGTATGGTGTTGACAAAGCAAGGATCATATCACTGGAATCTGAAATTCTGTTTTACCATGTACAGGGAATACTGCATGGTCTTCCGGGTTCCATTATGCACAAGGCCTACAAGTGGCCTATAGTGTGTAAGTGTGAACCACTGTATATATAACCAAGGCAAAAGCTATATCACGGATCCTATCATCCATGGGCAGAGGGACTGTCACGTCGATTATCCACGACTAGTGCGGGGATGCACCCCCCCCCCCCCCCCCCCCCCCCCCCCCTTTTTATTTCGAAAAAAATCTTTATTTCTGTATAAATTACCACCAAAGACAATAAATAGATCTTAATTGTGCACCCACCCACCCCTTTCAAAAAAGCTGTATCCGCCCATGTAGTGTATATATATTATAAAGTTGAACAAATTCCTCGCATCGATAGTCCGTTCGCGGAACTCTCTCTATCGCGATGTTACCGAGAGTGTAACGAAGGTGCCACGCGCTTGGAATTTTAAGGAGCTTGGAAACATTCTTGGGTTAGTAATAACTCTAGACTGGTTCCCGGGTCCTCCGCTTGGTGTCGCTGGTCTAACTCTAGCTCCCAGTCTGTCGCATGAACAAACGGGAACCAGTCTATAATTAACAGATGTCGTAAACATTATCTTTTGCCTGCAGATATAAATAAAGGTTGCCCTGCAGTCAGTTTTACTATATGAATCGTTTGAGTCACTTTCTTTGGCTCATTTATATCACTAATACTGAAAATAGCCTTAGAAAAAGATTTGTTAGACGACAAACGTAACTCGTTATTATACCGGCTGCTTCCGGAATGGGGCACGTGTAGGTGTTGGTAAACAAAAGACTGTCAAATGAACTCGTCCTACGCACTGCCACCCTTCTTCAAATGACGACATCCTCTTTTATGCTACAGTGAATGGTTATATGTCAACATGTCTTCAGTCGTACGTTATCTAACTATGAACAACGGCCTTAAGATGCCATCGGTTGGTCTAGGAACTTATCTTTTGAAACAGGATATTTTAAAACAAGCTTTGGACTATGCGCTATTTCTCGGTTACCGCCACATCGACACAGCACTTTCTTATGAAAATGAAGTAGAAATCGGTGAAGTGATCCACGAACGTATTAAAGCAGGTAGATTGAAAAGAAACGAATTATTTGTGACAACTAAAGTTCCTTCAGTGTATCTGAGTAGAGAGTCGGCAATAAGAAGTACTGAATTGTCCTTAGAAAACCTGAAACTGAAGCATGTTGACATGCTGCTGATACACCACCCCTGGGGCCTTGTGAACAGAGGAGATGGTACACTGGTACCGTTTGACTCGAAGGGGGAGAAAGAGCTGTGTTGGTACAACATTCTGGAGACCTGGGATGCCTTTGAACATGTGCATAATCGCAAGCTGACTAAAAGTATCGGGTTGTCAAACTTCAACCCCACACAGATTCAGAGGATCTGGGATAAGGCGGATGTGAAGCCAGCAAATCTACAACTTGAGCTGCATGCTTATTGGCAACAAAATGTCCTACAGAAAGTTTGCCGTGAGAAAAATATAATCATGACGGCCTTTGCTCCATTAGGAGCACCTTTTAAAAATGATATGACAGACGGTCTGCCAAAGCTACTGGAAGATCCTGTGATTATTGAAATATCTGATGAATATGGTAAAAGCCCTGCACAAATCTTGTTGAATTTCTTATTGCAAAAGAACATTGGTGTTTTGCCAAAAAGTCAGAGTATTGAGAGGATTAGGGAAAACCTTGAAGTGCTTGATTGGAAAATTACTCAGATGGATTGTGAAAGAATAGAAAAGTTGGACAACACTGTGAAATACTTTCCGTTCGACTGGGCTCATACACATCCTGAATATGACAAAAATCAGCCTTTCTAATCCTGTATTTATATGTTGTCATATATGTTGATGTGTTGAATTGACATAAGAATTAAGATACAGTTGACTTATGGATTTCAAATTATCTATGCTTTGTTTTTAATCCTGACAATTTTGCATGATCACAACAGACATCTCAAATTTGGGATGGGGTACGATTTATATTAATATATACCTGATATACATGGAAAAAATTGTACACATCAGAAAATATATTAACATTGGTGCTTAATTCTTTAAGGGAAAATGATTGTCGTTTTTGATTTTATGTGTTTAGCCAATACATGTATATGTTTCATATAAATTCTTTTAATTTATTATGTTTTTGATCGTTAATAGATTTATATTTTCACATGGAAGTTGATGACGGTACCACTAACCATGCTAACCATACCTCATTATCATGATCTTACAATGGGTATTATCATCACATGATACATATCACTCGTTTACATTTTATTTGTAATTTACAACCCTTGACTTGACTAGAAATAGAACTTGGTTTGTATCTGTTTTACTCCTGTACGTGACTTTCAATTTAAATATTTAAGTCAGCCATGTTAATGGAGATGGTACTTGTTGTTACCCTGCCTGGCGCTCGACATAATAGGGATAAAACAAGTACTGGTCAGCTCTAAGTCAGTATACTGTGTCTGAGTAGGGTCTACATTAGGACTCCGACAGATGCTCCAGTCGAGTGGGTAATGAGTAGGACCCGGACACTTTGTACCCAACTCTTGAGAGCTACAGCGGGTAGGGTCGGGTGAAAGGGGTCGAGTACCCATGTTTACTTAATTTAGACTTGTCCTAGCCCAAGTATACATGTTAAGCTTTGGCATGGTATCTCAGTGGGCAGTACTATGAAACAGGCATTAGTCTGGGCTAGTACAAGCAGTCACACAAACACACTTGCATGCATGTCATCACTGTATAACTGCACTTATCTTTAACATGACTTTAAACCCTTAATTTAACCCACCTCAACCTATCCTAGTCTGAGTAAACACAACCTGCACAAAAAATAAATATAAAAACTGATAAAGGGACTTGAGACAAGTTGACATCTATGGGGTCTGAAAAAGGTTTTGGGGGACCATGTATATCTTGTCTGTTATCATCTGATCATGGTCATTAGACATATGTGTTTTACAAATAATACTCATGTACTGTTATTCTCCATCTTCCTAAGACAAGGGAGTTAACTGACTGTACAAGTCAGTTTCCACCCTTGCCAAACTAGGCTGGAACTTCTTGGTCCGATTGTGGCACCACCAGTTATGTCCCTTTTATATCTATCCTATTGACCAATCAGATTCTGTCATGTATTGGTAATTAAGACTCAACAGGAGAGCTAATCTGACTAAGTTTATTCAGCCATGTGCTCATTTCAGGGTAACCCAAAAAGTTGCACAGGCAAACTCAACTGAATGGTTGTAATGAAAAGTGAGAATTCACTGAAATACATCACATCCCTTTCCTTTCGGACTTTTGAATAAGCTGGTTATTACCAAAACTTTAGCAAACATGTAAAAGAGCATTTAAAGAAAAAACAACAGTTAACAACATGGACTGATTACACCACTCTTTGCGATGTATCTGTTTAAGCTAAAGTAAAGCTAGTAAAGTTCTGCAAAAGTTCAGTGTAATGTCCTTTCCCTTGAAAAGAAAGAAATTGGCCTTTATTGGAAAAGGCCCTGTGAAGTCTCTTAAAATAAGAACACTGAAAACAGATTCACACTGTGGGACTGGCTAGGAAATGTTCTGTTAATGTCTATGTAACATAGTCTTTGTACTTTGCAGGTGGCACCACTATTCTTCCTCTACTTGTCATCTGTAAGTTGTCTGTCTCTGGTAGATCTACTTGCTGACTAGTTGTGTTGACCGCAGAATCTTTCAAGTTCTCTTTGGTCGTATTGCCTGATGAAGTCTTTGTCTCCGTTCTTTCCATGTCCTCTGCTGCAGCCCTCGTTGGTTTCAAGGGTCTCCTGTTTCTGCGGTATTGACAGCCATCAGGGGTCTCCATTACATAGGATCGAGGTGTCCCATGCTGACTCATCACTTCTGCACTCACCCACTTCTTATTAGCTGTCTTCATCATTACCGGATCGCCCTGGTGAAAGGGAAATAATTCATGCGTGTTCGGTAATATGAGAGCCGCTTATGTTGCCTTGCTTGTAGTTTCAGCTTCATGTCCTCCCCATCATGAGGCTTTAGCAGAGGTGTTGTCACTGGTGGTATAGTTTTCAGTCTCCTACCTAGGAACAACTGTGCCGGGGACTTGTCCAAGCCTTCAAGTGGACTATTTCTGGAAGTCATCAGGGCTATGTATGGATCCTTTGCCTTCCGTAGCAGATTTTTTACCGTCTGTACCATGCGTTCTGCTTGTCCATTTGACTGGGGGTAATGTGGGCTGGATGTCATGCCTGAAGTCATATGAGCTTGGGAAAGCCTTGAAATCAGCACTAGCATATTTAGGTTCATTGTCGCTGAAAACAATGTCTGGGATTCCATATTCGGAAAACTGGCTCTTTAATTGAGTGATTACTTGAGAGCTTGTGGTTGTTTTGAGCTTAGCAATTTCTGGCCATTTAGAGTAGTAGTCAACAGTCAGCAGATAGTGGTTGCCATTACATTCGAACATATCAGTTCCAATTTTGGACCATGGGCGATTAGGCAGTTCAACCTGTATTAGTGGCTCTCTGGTGCTCGGCACACACTGCACATTTTCCAACAATGTCCTCTATCTGTGAGGCCATTCCATTCCAGAACAAAACTTCTCTGGCATGGCTTTTACATTTTACTATACCAAGATGTGACTCATGGATTTTGTTCAGCATTTCACCCCGAAGAGATTTGGGTACAATCAGTTTGTGGCCTTTGTTGAGGAGTCCATCTATGCATGATATTTCTTCCTTGAAGTGCCAGTATTGTCTTAAAGTTCCTGAAAGTTTGTCTTTGGTAGCTGGCCATCCATCCATTACCAAAATCGGAGTTCTCTTAAACTCTCACCCACATTCGTAGCTCTTTTGAAGTGGTCATACATTTCTTCTGTGATCGGTATGTAGCTGAGGATATTTACCTCCAAGTCTGGCAGCAGCTTATCATCCATGTCTGGGAGATATGACCGACTTAGCTGGTCTGCAATGTGCATCTCTGATCCTGGCTTGTAGGATACCTCAAGGTCGTACTTTTGTAGCACCATCAACAGTTTTTGTAGTCGTAAAGGGGCCTGATGCAGTGCTTTTCTGAAAATAGCCTGGAGGGGCCTATGGTCAGTCTCCCCCTTCACAGTCTTGCCATAGAGGTACTGGTGGAATTTTTAACAACCGGAAGCTATCGCGAGAGCCTCTTTTTCAATCTGAGCATATCGTGTTTGCGTTGCAGTTAGGGCATGTGAGGCATAAGTAACAGGTTTTCCTTCTTGAAGCAGTACTGCACCAAGTCCGGTAGACCTGGCATCAACAGACAGGGTGTCTGTCTTATCGGAATCATATTAGGCAAGGACAGGAGCACTAGCCGCCATTTTCTTCAGCATGGCAAAACTTTGGTCCTGTTCATGATCCCAGTGCCACTGAATATCTTTTGAGATGAGGATACGGAGGGGTCAGGCAACATCAGACATGCTTGGCATGAACTTTGCCAAATATTGGATGAAACCTAAAACCGTATGAAGTTCTTTGACATTTTCCGGTCTGTTCATGTTTTGAACAGCTCTTACTTTTTCAGGGTCTGGCTTCAAACCATCACTGGTAAGATGTCCGACAAATGTTACTTGTTCTTTGCGGAATTCACACTTGGCCTTGCTCAGTCTAAGGTTGTCCTGTCTGGCCTTGTCTAGTACTTGCTTCAGCCGTTCATCATGTTCCTGTGTGTTTGTTCCCCAGACCAAGATGTCGTCCATAATAGATTCTGCACCTTTGATATCTTCCACCATCTGGCTCATAATTTTCTGAAATACTTCAGGAGCAGACTTTACCCCGAATGGAAGCCTTGTAAAACTGTATCTTCCGTATGGTGAATTGAATGTGCATAGCTTTGAGCTGTCTTCATCAAGCTGTATCTGCCGAAACCCTGATATGGCATCAAGCTTGGTAAAGACTTTTGCATCTGGCATTTGTGCTATAACTTCTTCAATTATCTTCAGTGGATAGTGCTCTCTCTTTATTGCTAGGTTGAGATCAACTGGATCAATGCATATCTGGATTTTGTTGGGCTTTATGACCGTAACCTTACTGTTTACCCACTCAGTGGGTTCTGTTTGCTTCACAATAACTCCTGCCTTCTCCATTCTATCTAATTCGTCTTCAATTCTCTCTTGTAAGGCATATGGGACCTTTCTTGGTGGATGTATGACTGGACGGTATGCTTTGTCAATCTGAATGCTGTGTTTTCCAGGCAGGCATCCTCGTCCTTCAAACAAATCTGTGTATTCTTCTATGCTAGGTTCTGAGATTTGATTTAACAGCTGGACAAGACACATCTCACTACTAGTCTGCGCACCAAAAACAGGCGTGGCTGTCATGTCTACAACATGGAATAGGACGTGATGTTCAACTCCCTTTACCATACAAGGCAATGTTATTGTTCCTTCAACTGGAATGATATGTCCAGAACAAGATTTCAAGGGAGTTGGTGATTTTCTCAGTGGCCCTGCTGTTATCGTCCTAACAGTTGCCAATGGTAACATATTACACTTGGCCCCTGTGTCAATCTGAAATGTTACAGTGTTTCCATTAATTGTTGCCTCTGTGGTCCAGTTCACAGATTCCTCATCCAGACCATGTATATTTAACATTCTGATGAAGAAGTCATCTCCATCACTGTCATCACACACATAGTTGTGGGGGTCTTCCTTCAGGTCTAGTTGGTTTACAGTTTGGCGCTGTGAACTTCTGCGAAATGGTGGTTGTCAGCTGCATACAGACGAAAAGTGATTGAATCGGCAACATTTGTTGCACTTCCTGCCGTCAGCCGGGCACTTTTGGTTTCGGTAGTGATCATAACTACAGTTACCGCACATTCTCGGTCTCTTTTCACAGCTCTAACTATCCCTTTACCTCTCATATGCTGTCCACCTAGGGTACCTGGTCCTCCTTGTCCTCCTTGTCTGGAAATTGCATCTACATCCTTGGTTTCTGTCGTCATGGATTTAAGTTGTGCCGTAGTTGTCTCATATGTTCTGGTGATGTTAACTGCCTTATCCAGGGTAAGGTCTGATCCTTCACTGATGAGCTGTTCCTGTACTTTGTTGTGTCGGGTGCCAAACACAATTCTATCGTTCACCAATTTTTCATCTGAATTGTCATAGCCACAATCTTTAACTAAAAGTTTGAGCTGCGTGACAAACTGTTCACCAATTTCCCCTTCCTCTTGTACTTTGCAACCAAACTTGTATCTTGAAAACACATGGTTTGTTTTGGGTGCCACATATTCTTCAAACCTGTCGTAGTAAGTTTTCAATAACTTTGCCTCTTCTTCGGTTAAATCCCATGTCGAGAATATCATTCTTCCCATTTCTCCTATCCATATCATAAGGTAATTGCAGCTTTCTTCCTCGGTTTTCTTCTTCAGAGGCCCATTAAACATGAACTGTGCATGTGTTTTGAATGACTTCCATGCAGCAAATAAGTCAGTACTCTCCCAGTTCATACTTGGATAATTACTACCAGCTCCCTCCATTTCAACATTTATTTACCTGCTTGATCTCTATTCTAGCTTCTTACACTAGTGTTACCACTTCTGACACCATGTCATGTATTGGTAATTAAGACTCAACAGGAGAGCTCATCTGACTACTAGGTGGTCAGGCTCGCTGACTTGGTTGAAGCATGTCATCGATCCCAATTGCATGGATTGATGCTCATGATATTAATCACTGGATTGTCTGGTTCAGATTCGATTATTTACAGGCCGCCGTCATATAGATGGAATATTGATGAGTGCGGTGTTAAACAACAAACCAAATCATCTGACTACGTTTATTCAGCCATGTGCTCGTTTCAGGGTAACGCAAAAAGTTGCACAGGCAAACTCAACTGAATGGTTGTAATGAAAAGTGAGAATTCACTGAAATACATCACAGATTCCACCTCTGATATCACTTGTATTTGCTTCAAACAAAATGGCAGTGCTCAGTGAAGATAATCAGATCAATAATCAAGATCTCTATTGTAATGAAACGGGTCTTACTTCGCATAGTGCATCATATCACATGAAAGGATTGGGAAAATATCTGTTGACGCTAAGTTGATGGGACACATGTTTTGCAAATCCTGAATAGACCGAAATCAGCACTGCAGTTTATGAAGAGGATGTTGATTTCGTTATGTGATTTTGATTGGACTATGCATAAACTCACTTGTCCAGCCAAAATATAACTCCATAAATCCAGCCTAGTTGGGCAAGGGTGGAAACTGGACTTTCATAGTCAGTTATCTCCCTTGGCTTGGGAAGATGATAATGCTCATGCTTTGTTATTCCCCTAACCGAAGACATATATATATATATATATAATAAAATAATAAAGTCCACGTTAGTCCATCATCTTCTTTATATCAGTTTCATACATAGTACTTTCGCTGTCTCATGACAGCTCTTCAGTGTAACTGACAATGACATATAATGACGTCATACTTATGATGACGTCATAAATTACAACTGTGACGTCACAATGTATTTACACACTCCAGCGACGACACCAAGTAATTTAACAATTGTAGGGAGACTTTTGAATTAAATATACAGTATTTGTAAAGTAACAGTGCAACATTAAGACTCAACAGGAGAGCTCATCTGACTACTAGGTGGTCAGGCTCGCTGACTTGGTTGAAGCATGTCATCGATCCCAATTGCATGGATTGATGCTCATGATATTAATCACTGGATTGTCTGGTTCAGATTGATGCTCATGATATTAATCACTGGATGTAGACTTTCTTTCCAAGCTGCCCGATGCCGTACCTATTGATGCGACTCTAGCCACCTTTGATGTGAAGAGTTTATTTACCAACATACCCCATGATCTGGGATTGGAAGCAGTTCAGTTTTGGCTGAGAAAACATCCTGAGGCTATCGACACTGAATTTTCGGAAAGTTTCATTATGGAATCTTTAAGATTAGTCTTAGAAAATAATACCTTCTGTTTCAACGGAAAATTCTATCATCAAAGAAAGGGTACGGCCATGGGAACGAAAGTCGCCCCAACATACGCTACACTTGTGATGGGTTACATAGAGGATATTCTTTACAGGAAGGTACACGATTCCATGTCAGAATCCATTGCCAAACATGTGCGCGAAACTTGGAAGCGATTCTTGGACGACTGCTTTTTAGTTTGGCTCTCAACCCGTGAAAATTTAGACATTTTTCTGGATATTATTAATAAGCTCCATCCTTCCATCAGTTTTACTATGGAGTCTAGCGAGAGCAAAATTCCATTTCTGGACGTCCTTGTAGTTAAGGAAGATACTAAATTGAAAACTGATATCTACTACAAACCAACGGACACCCATCAATACCTACAATTCGGTTCATGTCACCCCAGGCATACACGAACTAACATTCCTTATTCACTTGCGCGGAGAGTATGTACCATCGTGTCGGAAACGGATAAAAGAGATTTAAGATTGAAAGAATTAATGGGGTATCTCAGGAAGCTAGGATATCCGCTTCGCGTCATAAATGACGCAATAGAAAAGTCTTTAAAAATTCCAAGACATACTCTCCTGAAACCTAATGAAAAATCTGTGGGCGATCAAATTATACCGTTTGTGTCCACCTTCAATCCTAATAACTGTGATATCATGCCAGTCATAAGGGACAACCTCCCAATTTTACAGCAAAGCGATAAAATGAAACAAGGACTGAATAAATTTAAAATTATAAAAAGTACCAGGCAACCAAAAAATCTCAAGCAGATTCTTTGTCCATCCAAATATTCTTGTACAGAGAGTGTACCATGTGTAAGTAGATGTAACACACCAAGATGCGGCACGTGTAACATCATAAGTGAAGGTACTACTTTCCTTTTTGCAAATGGCAAGGGTTTCAATGTGAAAGCCGACATGAACTGCCGCAGCAAAGATGTGGTGTATGTTATGAGATGTTCGGGATGCGGCGAAAACTACATCGGTGAAACCGGCATGGAATTAAAAGATAGAGTCACTGTACACAAACAGCAGATTAGAGACCCTAATGTTCGATGCTTAGGTGTCAGCAAACACATTGATGATTGCGGAAACGGGAAATTTACTATTTTTCCGTTTTATAAATTGTATACAAGTAACAAGCAGCTGAGACTGGAAAAAGAACAAATGTTTATCCAATTGATGAAACCAAAGTTGAACTCTAGAATGTATTAATAGATTTGTCATTTCAATCGTAAATGTTGCACTGTTACTTTACAAATACTGTATATTTAATTCAAAAGTCTCCCTACAATTGTTAAATTACTTGGTGTCGTCGCTGGAGTGTGTAAATACATTGTGACGTCACAGTTGTAATTTATGACGTCATCATAAGTATGACGTCATTATATGTCATTGTCAGTTACACTGAAGAGCTGTCATGAGACAGCGAAAGTACTATGTATGAAACTGATATAAAGAAGATGATGGACTAACGTGGACTTTATTATTTTATTATATATTACATGTACACCGAGTGAACATTTACCTCATTTTTGTATATATATATATATATATATATATATATATATTGTACAGACGTCTTTGCCCTAACCACATTAGGAGTAGCTGCTTAGAACATAATCAATTACAGATTTTATCGTGTGGTGGTAATGTATCCAAATGTGCCATAAAGCAACCAGCTTATATCTGTGTTATATGTCAAGTAGGCTAGTTGTGATTGGCGAAAAAGTGGTGTTTCAGAATCCTGGTACACCATCATAGAATTGTTCAACAAGACCATTTTAGACAACGTGACTGCCCAGAGGAACATGTCTTAATCAGGATGGTGTATGTGTAATATTGACTGCTCCCAATTGTCAGTTTATTGACAGGGATTCACTGAATGACATAATATTGATATGTATGGTTCAAAGCTGTTTATTGATTTTAAAATTTTTATGCATGAAGATTTCTCTACGTATCCTAATTTTGATATTTATATAGCAATATATGATCTTCTTTACTTGACTGGATCTGATATTTACATTAAACTATTAACAATGAGGTGAATGTGATGTTCTACTGTTTTGTTTTTGTTTGCACAGACAACACCAGTTTATTTTCTTGGTTTTCCCCCGATTGATGACTCAGGATAGATTTGGTCCCCAGCAACCTGGAGGTGTGACTAGACATACTAAATGAATTGGGTCAATCTGGCACAATGACTTGGTCATCGTACCCCAACCATGTGGATTGTTGCTCATAATATCAATCACTGGATTGTCAAGTCACTCACCATCATATAGCTGGTATATTGCTGGGAGTGGCATTGATCAACAAAAGATATGTAGTAGTTTTTCTGATTTTACAGACAAGCCAAACACTAATGGGGTTTTATTTAATCTATTATGCAAAGAGAGGTTGGAAGGGGAGTGGAAATTAAGCTTAAATAATTTTTGCAGCATTCTGGTTTCTATTCTGCCTCTCATCCATGGCCCTCTGTAAAACAAGAAACTGAAGTGGTATCGCTGGAAGAATGTCAAAGTATGGAGGATGCGTGAGACAACAGATGCAGTACATGTACCTGTCACTGACATGAAGGGAGATGCACATACTGGTCAACGATCACAGGGTAGTGGTGGACATTCACCAGTGTTCACAGGGAAGTGGTGGACATTCACCAGTGTTCACAGGATAGTGGTGGACATTCACCAGTGTTGCCAGGGTAGTGGTAGACATTCATCAGTGTTGCCAGGGTAGTGGTAGACATTCATCAGTGTTCACAGGATAGTGGTGAACATTCACAAGTGTTCACAAGATAGTGGTGGACATTCATCAGTGTTGCCAGGGTAGTGGTAGACATTCATCAGTGTCCACAGGATAGTGGTTGACATTCATCAGTGTTCACAGGATAGTGGTGGACATTCACCAGTGTTCACAGGATAGTGGTAGACATTCACCAGTGTTCACAGGGTAGTGGTAGACATTCATCAGTGTCAACAGGGTAGTGGTAGACATTCATCAGTGTTGCCAGGGTAGTGGTGGACATTCATCAGTGTTCACAGGGAAGTGGTGGACATTCATCAGTGTTCACAGGGTAGTGGTGGAAATTCATTCATCAGTGTTCACAGGGTAGTGGTATATGTTCATCCATGATCACAGGGCAGTGGTAGACATTCAGTAGTGTTGCCAGGGTAGTGGTAGACATTCATCTAAGTTGACAGGGCAGTGGTAGATATTCCTTAATTTCAACAAGATAGTGGTGGACATTCATCCATGTTCACAGGGTAGTGGTAGACATCAACTTCAACAGGGTAGTGGTAGACATTCACCAGTGTTGCCAGGGCAGTGGTAGACATTCATCCATGTTCACAGGGTAGTGGTAGACATCAGTGTCAACAGGGTAGTGGTAGCTTTTCACCAGTGTTGCCAGGGCAGTGGTAGCCATTCACCAGTCTAGCCAGGGTAGTGGTAGACATTCACCATTGTTGCCAGGGCAGCGGTGGTCATTCACCAGGTAGCTGTGGACGCTACGTGGACTGCTGCTCATGCTATCAATTACTGGTTTGCCTGATCCAGATTTTACAGGTTACAGGCCGCCGTCATATTTCGGGAATATAACACATGGCATTTCAGCGTCCATCAACCTGTACTTCTATCTACACTTTGACCTTTTCTACATCTCCGAAACCACAAGGCCAGTTGTGAATAAAAGTCCCCTTGTGCATTCTCTCTCAATTTGCAAGTGTAATTTTATGAAGTCGTTGAAAATGAAATTTAGAAGAGTTGTCCCAACAGCTAAATACCCATGCGTCAAGTGCCTAGTCTGAAGTTGATGCTGTTGATGCAATTCAAAGATTTGACGAGGATTACAGGGCCTTGAACTCGACTATTGTGGGAGCGGTTCAGGTCCAAGGCCATGCCCTGTGATTGTACGACTCTTGTGGGAGCGGATGAGGTCCATGACCTTGCCCTGTGATTGTTCGACTATTGTGGGAGCAATTCGGATCCATGGCCATGCCCTGTGATTGTACGACTATTGTGGGAGCGATTAGGGTCTATGGCCATGCCGGGGCGGTCGGGTAGCCTAGTGGTTAAGGCGTTCGCTCGTCACGCCGAAGACACGGGTTCGATTCCCGACATGGGTACAATGTGTGAAGCCCATTTCTGGTGTCCCCCGCCGTGATATTGCTGGAATATTGCTAAAAGCGGCGTAAAACCATACTCACTCACTCACTCACTATGGCCATGCCCTGTGATTGTTTGACTATTGTGGGAGCGATTAGGGTCCATGACCACGCCCTTTGATTGTACGACTATTGTGGGAGCGATTAGGGTCCATGGCCATGTCCTGTCATTGTACGACTATTGTGAGAGCGATTCGGGTCCATGGCCATGCCCTGTGTTTGTACGACTATTGTGGGAGCGATTAGGGTCCATGACCACGCCCTGTCATTGTACGAAATATAAAGAAAATACACCTCGATGGAAAGCTTATTTATTTTCTTAAAGAAACCATATAGACATATTCCAAATTACAATATCAAAAGACGAAGACAGAAACTATCAAGGAACGAGTTGTCTTGGTAACAAACCAAGAAAAGCTAGGATATGTAGCTGCAACAGTTTAGCAACGAAATAACTGAAGATATACAGCAATGTTTAGGAATGAAGATTATACAGAATTGTGTAAATAAAACGAAATTAGCTCCGTCTGATTTTTTAATTCAACCTTTTGAAAAGTGTATACGCTTGACCTACAGTTATAACAAAATAGACGGGATTAGTTCAAAGGGGCACTAGCCTCAATTGTCACTTTTAAACCATCACTCCTGCCAGCCCAGATTAAGTATGTAAATGAGTTAATCATTATTTGGAAACAATGCCTCAATTAAGAAAAAGGCACAAATAGGTTGTATGCCAGGAACTGGGATCTAGACGATGGCACACTGTCCCCTGTCAGCTATGTCTCGTATGCTGGGACCCATTATTGTACTATTTGGGTGGTGGGGGTGGGGGAAGGAGCCTTCATGTTTTGTTTGAAACAGACAATTGTAATTAGTCAGCGACAAGGGTTATCAAGATAATATTTCCTAACGCTAGGAAAGTCAGACGTAATGAAATCATAACGATATTAATAAATGAATAAATAGGTTTTCACCATGGACGGATTGACAACATCAACATCAACACCATACAACACCATGTAAAAATAGCAGTGTCGGTACAGGGCAACAAGGTATATCACAGTTTGCTTGTGTTAGTGGGCGGATTCGTGGAAATTACACAGTATTGCTTAAATATCTTCACGGTTTGCCGTCACGGACTGCTGTGAGCGGGAGGTGAATTATACACGTGGGGCACATCACAAGAACAACATTGCGGACGTAGCAACCTTTAAAAGAATAAATTATTTTATAAATTAAATTATAAATTGAAATTACAACCCGAATTATATTATTTCAATTCAGATTAACCGCGTAAACTCGAACCCATGGGAACCATAGAACATCGAGATATCCGTAGTTCGAGACAAAAGATGTACCGATATTGACCATACCATTAAGTCATATGTTCTCATATCACATGAAATGGGTTAAGTAATGAGATTTTACTGCATTGTTAATTCAATATGTAGCCTGTTGATACACCGTGAATTCATATCAACCTACAATATGGACGTGAACGTATCAAGACAATTACACAACTTGGTAACATTTTAAACATTTAAAGACAATAACTGACAATTTGCGATTTGTCTCGATGTAAAATAAAATACCGCCATGGCACTGCATAGGTTTCCTTGGCAACGCAGACATAAAACCACTTGTTTATTGTGTCAGTCAGTTTGGCACCAAACTTTAATGAGACATTTGCGTGTTCAGTGGCAATGCGTGTGGGATGAAGTTGGCATTGTCCCATTAGAAATAACTGAGGTAAATGAAACAACTGAACGGAAACGTAATTAGAAAATGTCCACAGTGTTATCAATGATTAATTGTGACTGTCAATTTAACGCCAAATCTCAAAACGCCGTGTCAGCTTCATGGCAGAAATCACGCCCTTACCTCAAGAATGACGCATGCGCACACAGGCTTGAGGTTTGGTTAGGAATTGGACTCCGTTTCTCAAATACGAGTACGTTTCCTTGTTTGTTAGTGAAAATATGTTTTGATTACGTTTCATGTTCATTTTATGTTGATGGAAACGTGATTCATTGATGCATTAAATGTATTGTTTAAAATATAGTGAGTGAGTGAGTGAGTATGGTTTTACGCCGCTTTTAGCAATATTCCAGCAATATCACGGCGGGGGACACCAGAAATGGGCCTCACACATTGTACCCATGTCGGGAATCGAACCCGGGTTTTCGGCGTGACGAGCGAACGCTTTAACCACTAGGCTACCCGACCGCCCCGTTTAAAATATAGCATGTGATTTGTGATTATTCTTGATATAGATGATAAAGACGTTTTATGAGTAATAAATAAGGGGCCTAAAATGAAAATCTCCTTCTGATTGATTGGTCATAACTGAAAACATGACGTAGATTATTAATGATATTAAAATACAGTGACGTGAAGTACGGATCAAAGGGCAGCATTGTCAAAAAAAATAAAAAATGAATATATATATTTTGCGTGGAAGCATCACCGACAGATGTCAATGTCATTAACACCCATATCACCTAAACAAAACCTGACGCAATACTGGCACATTTTGCCTGAGAAGTTCAAATAGTCATTTTCCTTGGGCTATGCAATGCTACGCATTCGGATCCATCCGTCGTATTCCGTTTTCTACATCATATTTTGGGATATTCGTCACCTTACGTGTCACTCCAGGAAAAGCGACTCTGTGCAAACGGACAGACGTAAGAATTAGTCAATATAGTGTACCACGTGCGCCTTTGCTTTGAAAATTTACATCGATATTTGCTAAAAAGCACATTGATCCAAAGGGGACGAGTCTTCTAAGAGGTTACGGAAAACGACGAGTAGTGCTGAATGATTTATGGCTTGAGATATGTATAATATATATATATATGTAATGGGGCTACGTGTATAAATATACCTCCATAGTAATACAATACAATATGAATATCACCTGGATGTAAGAAGATAGAAAAATACCAGCAATATACAACACGGTGCAAGACATTGTCACCATATAGCCATGGCTGTGACACATGTAGATCATTCAGTCATTGAGCACTAGTTGAGTAAGGATTTCCAATTATCACACGGATACAAATGTCCTATCTTCTAACGTGGCATCTGTTTCCGTTTTATCACAGACTTGAATATATATTTCTGTTCATCAACACTGTCCATAAATAAACAGACACCAATGCAGGTTCGTAAAGGTAGACTCGTCTCCGAAACGAGGGATAACAGGCTTCCATGTGCTGTTTCAGTTGCTCACACATCTGTCTAGAGCTTCCTTTGCCATTCAGTGACCATATAAACAGGCTGTAAAACGTTGAGACGATCCCCAGTAACATCAGATAGGCGGAAATGACTTGTTTGTCCTCTTAGTTCCGGCCTCGTTAATCCATACTTATCGCCGTGGCTATGGACAAACGAGGCTGTATTATCTATATCAAATACAAAGATGGATGTGAGATTTCCATCGTTTCGTTAATCCGGCCTCGTAAATCCATAGTTATCACTGCTGATTCCGATGAACGAGGCTTTATTGTTCTGACATTTCGAACACCAAGATGGGTAACAGAGTTCCGGGTTTTTTTACACAGTAGGGTATTTCATTGTTTCCGAATGTCATAAAGCTACGATAATGAAGTATGATCAGTTGCCAGGGGGCGCAGACTTTGCACCTTTGCCCCTCCTCCCCCCTTGGGGACTCCCCTTCCCCTTCCGTTTGCCCTTTGGACTCTTCTCTGGTTCGGGCTTCTTCGGTCGGTCGCGGTCTTCCCTCGTCTTGCTTGACGACTGCTCCGAGTAGCTAAGTGCGGCTCTGCCACGAAGGTTCTCCCAAGCTTTCGGGAATCCAAGGACGATCTTGTTGTCCGAAACATCCACCTCCCGGATTGTAGGAAGTTTGCAGATGCTCTCTGGAAGGGCTTCCAAAACATTGTCAGAGAAATCCAAAACCTCCAATGCTTTCAACCTGTCAAATTCTCCAGGTAGGGTCTTGACGTCATTGCCCTTTGCCCGCAGCACCTTAAGCCTATATAGATAAGGGAATCCCATTGGCATCTCATCAATGTGGTTGAACGAGACGTTCAAGCTGGTCAGGGACGCTAAGACGTCTATCCGGTCTCGCGGAAAGGTCAAAAGTTCATTGCTGGAAAGGTCAAGGTTGATGAGCTTGTTAAGGTCACCGAAGTCATCGGGCAGGAGGCACATCTTGTTGAAGGACATGTCAAGGTTCTCCAATGAGAACAGCCTCAGAAGTCCTGGGGAGAAGTCAGCTATGGAGTTGTTAGACACGGTCAGCCGCTTCAGCTTCTTGAGCACCGTGAGTCCGTCCGGGAGATCGGTCAGCTCGTTGTGACTGACCACAAGACTCTCCAGTCCCTTCAGCTTGGAGATGCTGTCCGTGAGGGACTTCAGGTTGTTGTTGGACATGTCCAGATGGCGGAGGAGTCGGAGGTTGAAGACAGCTGGAGGAATCTCATCAAGCTGGAGGTTACAAATCTCCAGATGAGCAAGGTTCCGTAGATGATCCTTATCTCCAATCACAACCAGAGGGGAACGCATGTCAGTTGGGTTGACGGTGAGCGGGTTTTCAGACAGGTACAGGTACGCACATGGCTTTGGGATGTTCAGCTCCGTCAAGCTGTTGCTGGAGACGTCAAACGAATGAAGCTGGTACAAGAAGTCTATCGACTTGGGGATGGCTGCAATTTCGTTATGGCTCATGTGGAACTTCTCCAGGTTGCGTACCTTTCGGAGGTCAGTGGGCAGAGCTGCAAGCCTGTTATAGGAGATGTCCAGAGTGATGAGGATCTGTTCCTGGCCGAGACTGTCGGGGAGGATGGAGATCTTGTTCTGGGCGATGTTTAGATGCTTCAGCGTTGTGATCTTGCCGAGAGATTCAGGAACTTCTCTGATCCCGTTACCCGACACATCCAGAGTCTGAAGAGCTTTCATCTCATGGATTTCCTCCGGAATTACTTCAATTTTATTTCTAGCCACATACAGATGCTCCAACTGTTTCAAATAAATTGCGAATTTCATGGAGTTGAGGCGGTTTCCAGACACGTTGAGGCTTTCGATACAGGGTAAATCTTTCGTCCCAGTTGGCAGGTACTCAATCTGGTTGTCCGAGACATCCAACACACGGAGCTTTTTTAGTAAATGGATATCATTTGGTAAAGCAGCGATTTCGTTCCCAGCAACGTTGAGCGTGTCTAATGCATAGCCAAGGCTGCATATCTCCTCTGGAAGAACTTTGATAGAGTTGTGCGCTACATTGAAATAGTGCAGATACTTCACCATCCCTACCTGCATCGGAAGCTCATCCAATGAATTATGGGAAAGGTCAAGCCAGGTCATGCATCTCAGTTTGTCTATGTTTTCCGGCACAAACGCGATGGCATTATGGGAAAGATCCATCCTCTTAATATTTGGCTTTTTCACAGCAGCTGATGGCATTTCCGTAATTCGGTTACCTGCCAGATTTACAAACGCAGCCACCTCATACAGACCCTTCTTGAAGGATTTGATCAGATTAAACGAAACATCTATATGTGTCAAAGATGGCGACTTTCCTAGATTCTTGGGCAAGGCTCTGAGTTTATTATTTTGAGCATGTAAAGTTCTAAGGCCAGTGGCTTTGTGTATAGAAGGAGGCAACTTCTTAATACTGTTATTAGTGATGTCTAACGTCACAAGCTTCTTCATCCTGGATACAGAGCCAGGGAAGGAGGCGAGGTTATTGTTCTTGACGTCTACGTACTCTACGTTCTCCAGATTGGCCAAACCTTTAGGCAGCCTCTTCAAGCGGTTGTTCTCGGCGTTGAAGCGTAGCGTCAGTGCACTCAGTTCCTCGTTGTCGTAGATCTCGATGGGTAACGTCTTCATGTTGCACGTGCCGAATTTGAGGTGCACTGCCTTCCCGTCCCCCAGGCGCTTGATGTGGTTCTTCTTGAGGGGGTCGGGCAGGGAGACGATCTTACTGCCCGGGCCAGTGGCGGGAGGGGGCTTTTCATCCTTCTTTTTGCCTCTCTTACTCATGGCGGTACTGGATCGTACTGACCGAGGACGAACTGGTGCACCTGCAATCAGACAATGTTTGTATGTTTTATCAAGCAGAGACAGAAATAGGAGTTGTTCAACAACGATCATTTATTATTTGGTGGGTTTTTTTTTAGTAAAACATAATCTATGCTAATGAAAAGAATTGGGCAAAAGTAATCCAGACATAGTATACATGTATACTTATTTACAATCAATACATTCAATTGCAGAAAGGAAAGAATAGAAATAGAGAAACGTATGTACATTTACATTGCTCACTCAAACCTTTTTGTTTTCTCTATATATGTACGTATATTCATAAAAAAAATGTCAACAAGCATCAAGTCAATATATAACATCACAAGTATCTTACTAAAAATAGTAAATTATATGTATTATTTTCACATGGGTTGCCACATCGGCACTTTTTATCCTCGTTTAAAACCTTTTGAAAACCTTTTTTTATTCACAATCACCATGTCTAAATTCTGTTTGTATAATGTTAATTTTCCTGAGACCATATGATTGACATCATGAGCATCGATCCATCAACCAAGTCAGCGAGCCTGACCACCCGATCCCGTTAGTCCCCTCTTACGACAAGCATAGTCACCTATTACGGCAAGCATGGGTTACTGAAGACCTATTCTATCCCGGATCTTCACGGGTACTGTGTGTGTGAGCGTGGTTGAGTGTGTGTGTGTGTGTGTGTGTGTGAGTGTGTGAGTGAGTGAGTGAGTGAGTGAGTGAGTGAGTGAGTGAGTGAGTGAGTGAGTGTGTGTGTGTGTGTGTGTGTGTGTGTGTGTGTGTGTGTGTGTGTGTGTGTGTGTCAGAGCGTAGTTGAGTGAGTGTGTGCAGAGAAAGGAAAACCTTAACATTTGATATTTTTGCACTACACATTTCTTTTCTGGTCATACAGCGATCACAATAATTGTTGATCACGAATGAGATGCCGTCATAAAGCTGGAAAATTGCCGAGTGCGGCGTTAAACAACAAACAAACAAACAAACACTAGGTGAGGTGCCGTCATATAGCTGGGCTATTGCTGAGTACGGCCTTAAACAACAAACAAACAAACAAACAAACACTAAGTGCATCACATGATGTGACGAGTGAACGCTGAAGCCGTTATGCCACTCCCGGCTCCGACTGCACAATAAAGTTGCCTGTCTTTTTGTTTGGTGTTAAACCCGGCACTAAACAAGATCCCACCTATATGGAGGCGGTCTGAAGATAGTCAAGTCTGGACCAAACAATCCAGTGATTGACATCATAAGCATCGAGCTACACAATTGGGATACGTTGACATACATCCTCTCAATCAGTCTGTCTAACCACCTGATCCAGTTATCCGGCTCTTTCAAGCATGGATTGCTGAAGACCAATTCTAACCCATTAAAGGGGAACAGTAACGTAACGTTCGGTATTTTTACGATATTGACAAAATATATGAAGTGAGTGGAATATTTTCCAAAATCAAACGACTCTTCTCATTCTAATAACGCATGTTGGTAAAGCATTACTCGGCGCCCAGAAGATCCGGGTGCGATTGCCCAAAGGGAACAATGTGTGACGCCGTGATAGTGCTGGAACATTGCCAAAAGCGGCGTAAAATCCAACCACTCACTGACTCTTCTACAACTATTTTCTTCAACAGTGTTCAAATTTGATCTTCCGAGAGGTTTGTGGCTCAAGACTGATTAATTCCGTCCTGTGTGTACATGTACTTGTTGCCTGGTTCAGAGTTGCTACCAAAGAACCGTCCTGAAGTGTACGAGTAGGAACAAGCAGACAATAGTACGTCCAATGTTGCCCCTTTAATCAAATTCCACCGAGGCAAACAATATGAAATGATTTCAAACATATCCTATCTCTCTGCTAACGTTATTCCCAGATACTCTCTGTGTGATTTATCATAGATCAAGTTCGTATCAATGAGATATATAATCTCTATTTAAATCCGATTATTTACTTAACCAGTGGAGATGGATGAGAAGTATTTATAGAGGTGTAATTCACACTGAACACTTGCGGCAGTTTAATCACTTAATAAAGTACCCACACTTAGATAAATGACAAATTACCCGACAATACGCCATAGATTTCTTTCTGGCCACGAATTACCAAGGCAGGGGGATTTAAAGAGCTGCCGAGGAGATTAATGACCCAAGCTTGTGCACCTGAGCTTCTGTGCAATAGAAAAGTAACGTGTGGCTAAGTATACGTTAAACATAACAATATTCACTTTACATACTAGTATCTTGTAGCAAACAGCTTTACGTATTTTGTATCGCCGTGCATTTTTCATGAAGTTCAATTTAAGGGGTTTTCTTTGATTTTCCTGTTAGGTATACGTTGCAAACATGTACAACGAATAAAGGAAAACAAAACAAGAGGAAGATGTTTTTTTCATCAGTGGCAGTTATGGGGGCTTCATTTACAAAAATATATTTGGAGTCAATCCCGGGCAGGCAATTATATATATTTTTACAACTGCTAAAGTGCAACAGCATAAATGCACATGATACGACATATGTATTACCAGCTGAACATTCTATATATACTATAACATCATATACCATAACTGTAACGTATACCACGGAGGGGCGTGGGTGATCGGTACAGATCTCGACCAGAACGCCTTCCATAGACAGACTGACGTTGTATACTGTAGTAATTGAAACTGATTTATGTCAGTTCACTATGCCAGGCGACACTTGTTATTTTTCGGCTTTCGACCGACAAGAGTCAAAAGCAGCAATTTATATTTGCCTGTTTTGCTTTTGCTCAGATTAAAAGAATAGATGGATACTACTACAAAAATAAACTAAAACGTAACTGTTAACACATTAAAAGCTAATCATCATATGAACACATCCATTGTGCATACTATGTGACCCCACAAACATATTATAGAGAGTCATCAGTCATAGAGGTAAATGCACTTCCTTACACAGTTTATATTTTTAACTGGTCAAGTCATCGGGGGAATTTTATGCTTAATATGGATACTTGGGCTCCCAAATTAGTTCGAGACATCCGGGAATTCGAAACATCCAGTTCGACAAATCCGGGTATAAATGACGATGAATATAGAAGGAATTCGCAGGTACCAGAAGACGAGTTCGAGACAACACGGGATTCGACACATTGATTTACTGTAAACTTAGTAAACAGCAGAACATAAGAATTAACTGGGCATTTTTCATAAACCGACCAGCACAAAAAAAGCCATTAGTCATAAAATCAAAATAGTGTTGATCATAATAGTTAGTACACTGGTCACGGGTCACTGGTGTTGTGTCGAACACAAAGAATTGAGCTAGGACTAGAAATACCCACGGCTGCCGGTGTGCTAAGACTAGGTATTGGGTATGGTCGCTGATAAGCGCTTTACAATTCATTCTTGGCAGGAAAGAATGCCTTGATATAGAACACCCAGAAGAAACAACAGTAACATGATTACGTCAACAACAAATGGAGTCTGTACTTGTGTCTCCGAGTGGGGATAAGGGTTTACAAGGGGCCCTTGGCACCGATCGTAAGAGACAACTAAATGGATCAGGTTGTCAGGCTCTGTGGCTTGGCTGGTTGCGTGTCACCGTAACCTGACGACACGTCACGATGCTCATTTTATCAGTCACTGGTTTGCATGATCCAAACTCAGTCATTTACAGGTCGTTTTGATTTGACTGGAATACTGCCGACAGTGGCGTGATACAAAACATATCAAATATCGCCACTGAAATAAAACAACCTCGTCATCTCCTTAAAGACAACAATTACATTGTCCTGGCACAATTTGATATTAGTTTTACTTGTTTTACAAGTTTTACTCAAGATATGTTTGTACGTTTGTTTCATAACTTGGTAAAACTGTACCTAATCCAGACCTCGTTATTTCCATCAGCGTTCCTGGCAATCACTGTTATGAAATGACATTCGTCACCACTCGCCCCTTTCCGTCCCCCTCTCGATGAATGTTATGTGCGAAAATACGACAAACCAATCAGAATGCGCGTATGAAATAATTTTTGATTTTACATATGTCTTGCATCTAAAAATATACCCACGACACAGTTAAATGTGTTCAATCATACTGTATAATTCCGCACGTCCCGATGTCCTTTAAATTGCATCAGAAAAATATATATTATATGGGGAAATATATGTGAACCATTACGCAACGAGTTGACAATTGTTTTAGGTATGCCCGTTTGCGCTAAGACGGAACCTAGTCGCAAAAATGGCCACGAGAGGGGCACGAGTCGCTATTCGGCTTGTCCCGGAATACCACGAGTTGGTCACGAATGATGAAATGAGTGGCCGAATATTCATTAAACGGAAATGTGCTAATTCCGACGAGTTTGCTGAGAACGGTACAGTCCTGTTTCACTTCACATCCTGATAGGCAAAGATCTAATATCAACCGATAGTCGCAATCGTTTACAGATCTAAAAGTGTTCTATTCAAGGCGGGTATTGAGTATCAATGTGGCCCACAAAGCTACAGTGGTTTCCTTTGTAAAGCATTCAACCCTACATTATATATATTTAACACCTTACAGTACAGAGTGATTGAACGCGGGGCTCCAAATGTCAGTTATTTATTGCTCGTAAATTGCGCCGATTTCGCTTTGAGAAAGGTAACACTTTTTAATGCACCTGATTTACAGATTAACTATGGCAAGTAATGGAATACTGATATTGATTTAGGGCAAAGAGCTATCGATGTGTGTGTATCTTATCTATGTATTGCGTCAACGCGTTCTTTTGTCACTTCACAGGTACGTGGACTTTGATATTAATCAGTCGCCTTGGTCCTATTAGAGGAACAATTACAGCTGTAAAATGGTTTATCCACAAATAATTTTTTTACGTTTTCTTAACGAGTTATGGTTGCTAAACAAGATATAACAGAGACTCATTATTCAAGCACAGCAATATATGAATATTTTGGCTCTTGTTCCTTTCAAAACTTGATTCCGCATTAGAAAATATTTGAAAAGGCCAAAGAAATATTTGCAGTTTTAACTCG